AGTCGCGGCCGGCCGGTGGACGCTCGACGCCGATGCCGGGGGCCAAGCCGAAAAAGACGGGCTTGTCGGGTAAGCTGCGCAAGGCGCTGTCCTTTTCCAACATGGCCGAGATGCAGCAGGCGGCCGAGTCGCAGCGTACGGGTCCGGGCCGGGCGCCCTTCGGTCCGGTCGCCGGCGGCCACCCGAACTCGTCGGGCGATACCAACGGCTCCACCGGCTCGACGCGCTCCACGTCGCCGCCGCGTACGCCCGACAACGGCGCCAACCCAGCGTCGTCGGCCGCCTCGATCAGCTCGCGGCGGAGCGCCCGCCCGCCGCTCTCGAGCGCCAATGACGGCAAGCGCAGCATCTTCAACCGCAAATTCAACTCGTCGACCGACAACATCTCGATCTCGTCAACGGTGTCGAGCGCATCGGTGATGCTGCGCAAGGTGGGCAACCTGGGCAAGCTGGCGCGCCGCCACAGCCTCATGGGCCTCACCAACATGTTCAACAAGGACAAGGAGCGCGAGGGCCGCGAGGGCTTCCACAACGACAGCTTCGGCACGCTGCCGCCGGCCGCCGCGGCCGACGACTCGGCCATCGGATCGGCGACGGGCGCCAAGGCCAAGAAGGGCAAGAGCAAGAAGGCGAGCCCGGCGACGGCCTCGATCACGCACGCCACCGTCGAGCTCGAGAGCTCGCGTGGGTCCGAGAACGGCATGACGCCAGCGGCGTCGTACGTGCGGCAGCACCAGCTGCAGATGCAGCAGCAGGCCGAGCTCGAGGCAAGAGTGGCGCGCGAGCGGGCCGAGGCCGAGGCACGGGCCAACCGAACCGCCGAGGCCAGCGCCGCCTCCAACACGCGCCAGAAGATGATCGAGGAGGAGAAGCAGAAGATGAAGAGCAAGCGCGGCTGGCGCAAAAAGTTTGGCGGCAGCAGCGGCTCCATCAGCTCGAACGCACCCACCGGCCTCGAGACGACCTACGCCGACGCCGAGACCAACGACGACCACGAGGCGGCTCACTACGGCGGCAGTGGCGCCGCCGGCTACGCACCTCCGGAGGCGCCGGCGCCCGGCGTTTCGGCGCTGCCTCCCCAGCTCAGCATGCCCTACGACGAGGGGGGCTTTGACGCGTCGTTCGACGACGATGAGCTGCAGCCCCCGCACATGCCGGCGGCGGGCGGCGGCGAGGATTCGGCCGATGAGTTCGAGACCGACAGCCTTCGACACTGGGGCGAGGGCATTGAGCGGTCGCGTGCCAGCGCGGCCAACTTCAAGAACCCCAAGGGCATCCTCAAGAAGACGACGTCGTTTGACCAGCTGCCAGGGTTTGAGCGTCCGTTTGCCGGGCGGGTCCGCGCCAACTCGTACGATGCGCCGCAGCCGGCGTCCAACGGCCTGGCCCTGACCAGCAGCACGCCGTCGATGACGCAGATCTCGACCGACGGCGGCGAGCGGCTCGACGGCGTGGCGCGCATCGACTCGCCCCACTCTTCGCGCCCCGGGTCGAGGTCCGGCGACGACCCGTCGGCGAGCGCGCGCAACACGCCCCGGTCCGCCTCGCCGCACGGCGGACCGCCGCCCGCCGCCGTCCTGGGCCACCACTCGAACTCGTCGATGCCCACGCTCTCGCTCATGATGGACGGCGGCGAAGCTGCGCAGGCGCTGACGCCGCGCTCCGTCACGGGCCCTCCGCAGGCCAAGAAGAAGCTCGTGTTCGCCGACGAGCACATCTACCACTCGACCTGGCCGGCGCACGTCTACGACCGCCGCGGCGAGCTGGCCACGTGCAACCGGCTCACGCCCGTCCTGGCGCAGCGCATCAAGGAGGAGCTCAACTCGTACAAGATGGAGGAGATGGCCGTCGCCGCCTCGAGCCGCATCTACACCCACTTCTTCGTCTAGCCAGGTCGCCGGCCTGCACGCCTCCGGTCCGCTATGCCTCTGCTTTGTCCCTCCGGCTCCGCCATTCTGAGATCCCCCACTCGCTCACCACATCGATAGTTCTCCTGCATCTCCACCCATGGACTCGAACATCCTCCTCCTCCTCCTCTGCTGTCCTATCGGCCCTGGTCGACGCTAGACGTTCCCCACAGCCTGGTCCTGACCCATTCCAAAAGCCCTTCCGCCAACCATTGTCGCTCCTGACCGCTGCTCCCGCCATCATCCGACATGTTTTCCGCCTTCCTCGCGCCCCGCCCCCGCCCACGATCCTTGCATATCGCTCCCGTCGAAACCACTCTACAGTTCTTTCCCGTCTCTCGTCGACTTGCGAACCAGTGTCCGACGCCTTTCCCGCACCACAGCAACCTGATCCGGCCGTCTGTGCACGTCGGTCAGATAGAAGAGGGGATCTGATCTCTGTGCCTCTCGAGCCTCGCGGGCGGGCGGCCGTCCCAGCTTCGGTTCCGAAGCGGAGCCCGCGAAAAGAGGCGGGGGCAGGTGTGGAGGCGAGGCGAGGTGGCTTTGAGCGATCGGGAATGACGTCGCGCCGCCGGAGAATGGGGCGGTTGGGCGGAGATGCTCCCCTCTCGCCCCGTTCGGTTGGCTTTTCAGCATTAGGCTGGCGAGACGACGAGGCCAGGGTGCTGCTGCCGTCGTAGCGGCTGCTGGCATCCCATCGACCCCTTTGTCTTGACAAACGCCGGCGGCCTAAGGGCTGGCATGGTTGGGTCGATTGGCCAGGGCAGCAGCGGTCCAACGGGGCACTCAAAAAACAGGAGTCGGAGGCCCATGGCGGTGCCGCGGAGGGGCGTGACGAGCGGTCTGAGGCGCAGCTAGTTCATAGCAGAGGGAGCTGCGCTGCGTCGGCGGTGACGCGGATTTCACAAGCAGCAGCAGCGGCCCCTGCCTGACGGACGCCTGCCTGCTGGCCAACCCTCGCACGCGCCGCCGTCGCCGCAACGAGAGGGCGGTGGCAGCCTTGCTTGCCTTGGCCTGGCCTAGCCTGCTGGCCAACAAAAAATAAAAATAAAAAATAAAAAAAATAAAAAATAAAAACTAAAAAATGGGGGCCCAGCCAGATCCAGCAAGGGGCCACAGAGGCCTGCCTGCTCTCGAGCCACCTCTCCCTCCCTCTGTGGCAGCGCCTGCTGCAACGGCAGCAGCAAGCAGCAGGCCAGCCGCTCGCCCGCGGTCACGGACCCCGTCAGCCAGCAGCGGGATCCCTCAGCCGGGTCCCACCCAGAGATCAAGAGCGCGGCCCCTACGCAGCCTACTCTGCCTCTGCCTCTGCCTCTGCCTCTGCCTCTGCCTCGTCTCAGCCCGCCCGCCTGCCCGCCTGCCCGCCTGCCCGCCTGCCCGCCCGACCGACCGACCGACCGACGTAACGTGCCCGCAAGACGTCGCCTCGCCTTTCGCTTGGCCTGCCTCTCCGCCCGGGCCTGGCCTCACCACTCACTCGACTCGACTCGACTGCCCATCCGCCCTGACTGCACCCTCTCCCTCCCAACTCGTGGAGCCGCTCGATACATGTCCTGCCCTTGATCCCCGCCACCATACCCCGTCCCCATCCGAACCGCGACCCCAGGCGCACGAGCTACCTACGGCGCTCGCCATCACCGTCCCCACCACCACCAGCTGCGACCGCACCTCACCGCACCGCATCGAAACGCGCTGCACGCCTCCGCCACGCCGCCACGCTCGACCCGCTCTCCCTCCGACGCCGCCCATCCTTTGGCTCACAGAGAGGCGTCCATATCGACTGCGCGCTCCCCTCACCTCGCGACATAGACTGCCCGTGCCGTCTCCACCCATCACCTCTGGCTGATCCTTTGACGTCGACGCGAACCTCGCTCGTGTACTCCATCTCTGCCCACGAGGTAAGCATCACGGCATCCCACCCATCGCCCGGCGCTGAAAGGGCAGCAGCTCCTTCCGGAACCGTCGGCATCCGTCCCCTCGCTTTGCCTGTCCCTGGCGCGCAGACCAGCTTGCCTCTGTCGAAGCTGTTGGCTGGCTGCCACCGAGGAAATGAAAGCTGGAGGCTCCGACGGCCGCCACTGGGTCGAAGCCATGCGCGTAGATGCTTCATCTCGCTGACCCAGCCTCCTCTCGTCATCCGCTGCGGATCCGGTCTCCCGTCTTTTACCGAACCCCCGCCCCTCACCATCTCTGCGTCCGACGACGCACAGCAAAGCACCGACCATGGGCCTCTTGGACCACGTCAACTCGGCCGTCTCTGGCGCAAAGAGCCATGTCAAGCCGAGCAAGGAGGACCGCCCTCCGGAGGGTGCGGCCGCCGACGACACCGAAGAGCTCGATGAGGAGTCTGGAAACATCCTCATGAGCCTCATCGGGCAGCTGCGGATAGGCATGGACCTCTCCAAGGTCACCCTGCCCACCTTTGTCCTCGAGCCTAGGAGCATGCTCGAGCGGATCACGGTGAGTAGGGCCGCGTGCGATGGCGGGCCTGCGCCCGGGCGGAGTCGCATCCGCGCAAAGGGAGAGGAGGAGCGGCGGAGGAAGGTCTAGAGGGTCAGGGAGCGCTTGCATGCTGACAAAGTCGCCCTTGATCCATGCCTCCCGCCGTCCGTGGTGCACGCAGGACTTTATGAGCCACCCCGACCTGATCTTTGGGTGAGAGGCGCCGTGACGCGCCGCCCCGTGTCCGTCGTTCCGAGCCTGGCACACTGACGTCTTTCCTCTCCTTGGCTGCCCCGCCTCGTCATCACTGGTGCATCTCTCGCGCAGCGCCGGCCAGAACGACGACGTAGAGAGGCGGTTCCTACAGGTGACGCAGTACTACCTTTCCGGCTGGCACATTAAGCCAAAGGGCGTCAAGAAGCCGTGAGTGCGCCGCCGGCACTGTTTCGCTGCGCCTTGCCGCTTTGCGACTGACATCCTGCATCGGCCCACCCACCCCCTCCGCGACCGGCCGCCAGGTACAACCCGGTGCTCGGCGAGTTCTTCCGCTGCTCGTACAACTACCCGAACGGCACCAAGGGCCACTTTATCGCCGAGCAGGTGTCTCACCACCCGCCCATCAGCGCCTACTACTACATCTCTCCCGAGAACAATCTGCTCATCTACGGCGAGCTCAAGCCGAAGTCGAAATTCCTTGGCAACTCGGCGGCGACCCTCATCGGCGGCGAGAACCGTGTCGTGCTGCTTGACCGGCTAGAGGACGGCGAGTACCAGATTGGGATGTGCAACCAGTACGCGCGCGGCATCCTGTTTGGCAAGATGGTCCTCGAGCTCGGAGACACGAGCCGCGTCCACAACGTGGCCAACGACATTGCGTGCGACGTCGAGTTCAAGACCAAGGGCTACTTTACGGGGACCTACAACGCCATCGCGGGCAAGGTCACGCACAAGGGCAAGACGATTGGCGAGATCACAGGCAAGTGGAACGAGGCCATGGAGTTCAAGAACAGTCAGGTGGGTCCCGCTTGCCGGTTCGACGTGGAAGGCGTCGATGTCGACCTGAGCTCCGCTGACCGCAGGCGTCACCTCTTCGGCCATTACCGACCCCCTAACCCCACAGACTGGTCAGACCGAGGAGCTCTTCGATGCAAAGAAGGCCAACATTGTGCAGAAGGAGGTGATCCCCGAGTCGGAGCAGGAAGAGTTTGAGTCCAGACGGTGAGTAGGGCCGACGGCCAAGGAGCGGGCGGCCTTGCCCCATGCGTTGGCGTCGAGCTGCCGAAAGCACGTCGACTGAACTAGGTGCGTCTGCATCTGCCCCTGGATCATCCACCGCAGGCTCTGGTCAAAGGTCACCGAGGGCATCAAGGAAAAGAACCTCGACAAGGCGACCGAGAGCAAGACGGCCATCGAGGAGCACCAGCGCCAGCTCGTCCGCGAGCGCGAGGAAAAGGGCGAGACGTGGACGCCCCGCTTCTTTGTCCAGAAGGGCGAGAAGTTCTTCCCCAACATGGAGTGAGTGTCCGCCGCCGGCAGGGCCCGCCCGTTCCGATTTACCGACCGACCGACGAAGCGACCGGAGGATCTTGGACGGTGAAGCTGACTGCCTGCCTCACTCTGTTCGCGTGTCCCGCGCTGCTGCCACAGCGCCGTGGCTGAAGAGTACCGGCCTCAAGCGGCGGTCGACTACTTTGCCAAGCACCAGGGCTAGACGCTTGCACCACCGTTCTGCGGGCGAGTCGGGCAGCTGGAGCGGTCGAGCCAGCAGAGCCTCGTCATCCGCGCTCGGCGCTGCACGCCTCCGCCGACCTTGCACCTAGCCCCTCTCCCTGCCTCGCTCTCTCTCCCTCTCGCCCGCCTCTCTTTCCCGTAACCCCGTATTTCGCCCCCGCCTCGCCCCTCTTGGGCTTGACAACGTGATCTATATCTAGCTACCGGCGTCGTGATCTCGAAACGATATTGAAAATGGACAGGGGACGTGCCGGCCTGCCCGGCCTAGGCCGGGCTAGGCATACCAGCCTGGCTCAGCGGCGCGACGCGCCCTAGTCCTCTTTACGCGTGGGCGCGGCGGACTCGGCACGCGCCTCGGCGTAGAGTTGAAATCCTTGGCCGCCCGCGTCTCCGCAGGCTGCGGTCAGACCCCGCCTTTCCCCTCCCACCACCTCCAACCCCTGATCCTGGCGTCGACGACTCTCGCTGGCATCACGTCGCACCCGCTGCACCTGCACCTGCACCCAAACCCGCACCCGCACCCGCAACCGCACCCGCTCCACGCTACGCCACGACACTACACGGCAGCCACACTCCGTCGCAAGAACGACGTCCCAACCCACCATCCACGACCATCCTCACCCCGTCGCACTGTGGGAAGATGGACGACTCGTCGCCCTCGTACAAGCGGCATTTCGGCGCGCGCCCCTCTTCCTTTTCCTCGGGCCTCGCTTCACCCTCCTCCTCCTCTGCAACGACGACGAGGGAGAGGGGCGACGTGTCCGAGGAGACGCGGCTGAAGCTCCAGAACATCGGCTGGCGGGTCCGCGCCCAGGTCGGAAACGGGTACCGACATACCCGTAGTGCCGCCGCTGTCGTCCTCGGTCCTCCTGCTTGTTCCTCGACCGAGCTGCACGAGGATGGCAAGAGGGGTCCTATGCGTCCCATCTCGAGCTGGAGGGTCAATGTCAAGCGCGAACGAGAGTGAGTGTCCCGCCCCCCGCCGCAGCGCGTGGCGCCGCATCGCGTCGCATCGCAGAAGCTGAGACGACGAGCGCAACGTTGATTCGACAATGCCATCCCATCCCTTCCCCCCTTCGCCGCACCGCATCGTACCGCCAACGCTTTCTCTCGCCACCACAGCGACGCTCGAACCGATAGCTTCGCATCCGAGGCGAGCACATCCACCGCCCTCTCCTCCTCCTCGTCGTCGACGGCGTCTGGCTCGTGTCGGACCTTTTCAGACGTCTCGTACACCTCCAACTCGTTTTCGCGCAGCGACTCGTCCACTCCTGCGGATCAGGGTGGCAGCGGTGCGGATATGGATGTCGACGACGACGAGCATGGCACCGCTTCCTTTCCCCCACCTCCGCCTCCTTCGCAGCAGCACCAGACGACATTGAGGGACCGACCGATCCGCTCACTGCCACCGCGCACCATGACACGGCAGACCAAGTCGCTCCCCGCTTCGGCCCACCTCGCATCCTACCTCTCCTCGGCCCCCGTTCCAGCACCGCCATCGTCGCTCAGCGCCCTCACTCCCCTCTCGCCCTTTGACGACGACGACGACGACGACGATCCAGCACCGGCACGGCTACACCAACCCCAACCCACCTCGCCCGCCCGCGCCCTCCCGCCCTCGTGGGCGCGCTGCGGAAGCCTCGAACAGGGAAAGGACGGCACCGAAATGTGCGGCAGCGAAGAGTGGAAGCACGTCGACTTTTCCTCGTGGGCCAGCCGCGAAGAGTTCTAGCACACACGACAGACGGCGGTTAGCCGTCCCGCTTTCGGATGCCCCACCGTGGCGACTCTGCCTCTTTATACCCCTCCTTACCCGCTGCCACGACTTTGGACACTCTGACAATCGCATGATCGATCGATACGATGGCTGGCGGGCCTCTCTCCCCGCCTCGGTCGTTGTTTGTTCGTGCGCATGCCGCCACTGCTGCGCGGGTATTGCCGGCACTACAGCCTTGCCCTGTTTCTCGATCTCCGCGACGAGGCTACCCAACAAAGCGGAACGTGTCGGCCTGGACAAAGTACTTGTCGGCGATGGTGACGCCGGTGCCATCCTTGCCCGACGTCGAGCTGGCGCTGACTCCGCCGTCTATCGTCTGGCCTGCCGCGGCGCCTTGGGCGGCCAGCACCGCCTGCGAGGGGACGAGGAGGAAGCTCTGCGAAAAGCAGCGCGGGTGCGACGAGATGGGCGCGTCCGGATCAAAGCCGCCCTTTTTCGCAGAGGCCGAGGATCCGCCGGCCGCCGACGACGACTTGGGCGCGTTCGATGGCGGTTGCGCCGATCGCGACTCTGGCGTGTGGTGCGAGACCAGGCCGCTGACGGTGAGCAGCAGCGAAGGTGGCGTCGCCGTGGCTGGAAGGGGGCGGGAACGGGCATGATGCGATGCGTCAGCCACAGCGTTCGGATCGTGCCCGGCGGAGACTCTGGAGCGATGGCGAGAGGGTGTGCGCTCTATATACTACTCATTCCCCCTCGGCTCGCCGCACCGCTGCGCTCGCGAGCAAGCACAGCCGGGAGACGGGGCGAAGGAAAGACATCTGTGCTTTCGAGTGCCTCGAGTCCTTTGAAGAGCGGCGGCCCCAGAAGGGGCCTCTGTCGATGTTGCCACTGTCTTGCACCGATCCCACCTCCAGGAGGAATAGGGAACGGCGCAGACCAAAGGATCAACGCGACGGTCCGCCAAGGGCGTACAATGTCGGGCTGGATCTCGAGGCTTCGAGCAGTGGAGCATGGATGCAGGGTCGGTGCGACTCGAGCTTCCAGCAACGGAGCCTCGAGATCGAGATGGCGTGGAGGGGTGGGGAAGGGGGAGGAGGACAGGGACGGATCGGGCCAGCGAGGAGCGACTTCACTCACATCCCTGGATGCTTCCCGAGAGGGCGTGGCAGTCAAAGGTCTGCACTTCGTGCTTTGACCCGGGCATCGAGTTGAGCATGGCGAGCAGCTCTGCTTGTCCGCTGACGGGAGTGCCATTCCAGACGATCGAGGAGTTGGGGAGGTAGAGAGTTGGGACGAGCTGCGAGCGGAGCGGGAGTGCCAACGAGTAGCTTTGAATCAGCACATGGCAGCGAAGAGGAGTGTCGAACAGGGAACGAGGCTCACCTGGGTGCGTTGCGGTGAGTCGGAGGCGGCGTAGTAGGCCGAGACAAAGGCCTCTGCTGCCTTTGTGGCATGCTCAGATATTCTGCTGTCCGTTCGGTTGGCCATGGTGAGGGATGTGAGGATGAGACGAAGAGCCGCGAGTGGACGGCGGATGTGGAGTGATAGTACTTGGATGATGGTGGCAAGCAGACAAGGTGTGCCTGGCTATGCCATCCGAAGACAGGCTTGCAGGTGGAGCTTCGAGCAGGCAGAGGCCTTTGCTGCGCCTCGACTCCCGAATCCCGAGGGGGTCAATAATTCGGGCCAAGGGGGCGGACCGGCCAGCCACAGCGTGGCCGGGCAAGCGCCGGGCAAAGGCAGGGGCGGGCAGGCCAGGCGAGGCCAAGCCAGGCGAGGCCAGTTCAGGGCGCTCTCATCACGCCATGGCCAAGGTTGCCTGCAGAGCCCACGCACGGCCAGACCAGATCAGGCGGGCCCAGCCGGCCGTGACTCGGGCAGTGGCCGGCATGGCGCTGCGGCCTTCTTGTCCAGCGAACCCCGCCCGCCACCTGACAGACCGACCACCAACACCGCCATCACCACCGCATACTCTCCCTCCCTCTCTCGGGCATCATCACTCTGCCCACCCATCGCACTCCCCTCTTTGTTTGCAAGAGCGGGCTCTGCCACACACATACACGCACGCACACGCTTAGCACACCGGGGCGGGCCGAATTTGCTACCATCGCTCCCCACTAGCCTTGTCACCGACCACGTCTGCCGCCTCTCGAGTCAACCACCGCTCCCCCTCTGCTCCACGCCCCCACCACCGCCATGTCGCGCTTTGAAACCGAAAGCCAGATGTCGTCCGCGGCGTCGACCATCACCCCGTCGCTCACCGAGATGGGCTCCTCGATCGCGTCCCTCGACTCGTCGATGCCCACCTCGCCCGAACCCTCGATCCTCGGTGACGCTCACCCCAAGCCCGCCTACCTCGACCACAAGGATCGCCGCGGCCCCAACGGCTACCGCTTCGCCACCCAGTGCGCCACCGTCGACGACCCCAACCACAAGGACCAGTACGGCTCCTCGTCGGCCCCCATCTACATGTCGGCCACCTTCAAGGGCCTCCCCGGCGCCGAGTTCGACTACAGCCGCTCCGGCAACCCCACCCGCTCCATGCTCCAGCACCACCTCTGCCAGCTCCAGAACTGCAAGTACAGCTTCGCCGTCAGCAGCGGCATGGCCTGCCTCGACGTCATCACCCGCATGGTAAAGTCGGGCGAGCGCATCATTGCCGGAGACGACCTCTACGGCGGCACCAACCGCCTGCTCGGCTACCTCGCCTCCCACCAAAACATCCACACCGACCACGTCGACACCACCGACGCCGCCAAGGTCGAGGAGGCGCTCGAGAAGCGCGCACGCGACGCCCAGCTCGGCCTCTGCGGCAAGGTCAAAATGCTCCTCCTCGAGACGCCCACCAACCCCTGCCTCAAGATCTGCGACCTGGAACGCTGCGCGCGCGCCGCCAAAAAGTGGGCGCCGGATGCCATCGTCGTCGTCGACAACACTATGATGTCGCCCTACCTCATGCGGCCCCTCGAGCTCGGCGTTGACGTCGTCTACGACTCGGGCACCAAGTACCTCAGCGGACACCACGACCTCATGGCCGGCGTCATTGCGTGCGACCGCGACGACCTGGGCAAGCAGCTCGCCTTTACCATCAACTCGATCGGCAACGCCCTCACACCCATGGACTCGTTCCTGCTGCTCCGCGGCATCAAGACGCTTGCCGTCCGCATGGACCGCCAGCAGGCCTCGGCCATCACCGTCGCCAACTACCTCGACTCGCTCGGCTTCAAGGTAAACTACCCGGGCCTTGCAACCCACCCGTCCAAGGCCGTCCACGACAAGCAGGCCGCCGGTCCCGGATCGGTCCTCAGCTTCTCGACGGGCGACAAGGCGCTCAGCGAGCGCATCGTCGGCGCCACCCGGCTCTGGGGCATCAGCGTCTCGTTTGGCTGCGTCAACTCCCTCATCAGCATGCCCTGCCTCATGTCGCACGCCTCCATCGACCCAAAGACGCGCGCCGAGCGCGGAATGCCCGAGGACCTCATCCGCCTCTGCGTGGGCATCGAGGACCAGCGCGACCTGCTCGAGGACCTCGAGAGCGCGCTCCTCGAGGCCGGCGCCATCCGACGGAAGTCGTCGTCGTCGTCGTCGTCAGCAGCGAACGCACACAACAACCTCAACTCGGACAGCGAAGCACCAGAGTCGAGCAGCAGCAGCAGCGTCTACCATTCCCGCGTCGGATCGCCGGTCAACAACGGCTACGAACGCGTTCCGCCACAGACGGCGTCGTCGTCGGGGGGCGCCGACGAGAAGGTGGCCGCACTCGTTGCCGGCATGGACAGAGCCAAGATGGAGACGCGCGGCGGTGAGGGGGAAACCGGCGGCGGCGGCGGCCACCCGCCGCCTCCCTCGTCGCTGCTGGTCAGCGCGCCCGGCAAGGTCATCCTGTTTGGCGAGCACGCCGTCGTCCACGGCGTCAAGGCTATCGCCGCCTCGGTGGCGCTGCGGTGCTACGCCAGCGTGACGCCTCGCGAGGACGGCAAGATCAGCCTCAACCTCCCCGACCTCGGCGTCGAGCACGTCTGGGCCATCGACGAGCTGCCCTGGCACGCCGTCCCCGCCTCGCTGGCCCAGCAGCCGCAGCAGCAGCAGGGCGGCCTGAGCTCGCCGACGTCGCTCGACGCCGGCCTGCTGACCGCCATCGAGAAGAACGTTGGCGAGGTGGTCAACGAGAGCGAGCGCAGCCACGCCGCCAGCGTCGCCTTCCTCTACCTGTATCTCTGCATCGCCGGCCAGCGTGACGCCCGGGGCCAGGCGTTTGTGCTGCGTTCCGCCCTGCCCATCGGCGCCGGCCTGGGTTCCAGCGCCGCCCTATCGAGCTGCCTGGCGTCGGCCCTCATCTACCTCTACGGCCGCCTGCCCGCGCCCGCCGCCGGCGCCGCCTCGGTCCCCGCCGACCACGCTGCGCTCATCAATGCCTGGGCTTTCATCTCCGAGAAGGTGTGCCACGGCAACCCGTCGGGCGTCGACAACGCCGTCTCGGTCCACGGTGGCGCCATCGCCTTTACGCGCGCCCACCCGTCCAACAGCCTCGCGGCCAACCAGATGGCCAAGCTCTCTGGCTTCGACTCGATCCGCTTCCTCCTCATTGACACGGGCGTCGGGCGCGACACCAAGAGCCTCGTGGCCAGCGTCGCCGCGCAGAAGGACGCCGAGCCCAACCGCGTGGCCTCGGCGCTCGCCGCCATCCAGAGCATCGCCGACAGCGCGCAGCACCTGCTCACCGACGCCTCGACGCCGCGCGAGGCCGTCCTCGAGGGCCTGGCCCGGCTCATTCGGCAGAACCACGACGAGCTCGTCGGCCTCAAGGTGTCGCACCCCTCGCTCGAGGCGATCCGCACAAAGACGGGCATGGAGCCGCTGCGCCTGTCGACCAAGCTGACGGGAGCCGGCGGCGGAGGGTGCGCCGTCACGCTGCTGCCGGACGGCGTCGACGAGGCCGAGCTGCGCCGCCTGATGGCCGACCTCGAGAGGGACGGCTACCGGTGCTATGAGACTCGCGTCGGAGGCGGCGGCGTCGGCGTGCTGGTGCCGCAGGCCATGCAGGCGGGCGCCGGCGCTAGTGCGCAGGACAAGATCGAGGACGGCAACGCCGACGTTCCCGTGCGCGTCCGCTTCGAGGAGGCCCAGAGCGCCGATCTCGCCGCGTGGGCCGACCACGCAGGCAAGTGGGCATACGCATGAGCCGGGCTCCCGGTCGGGCGCAGATCACCTAGCCTGCTTCCCATCGTGTACTCGCCATCGCTGTTGTCGCCGTCGTCGTCGTGGTCGATGGCTGCTGACTGACCCTTGCTCCGATATCCCCGTGCTGCTGCGCTGCAATACAAGTCTCCGATACTGCGCCCGCTCCCGTGTTGCGCCCGGCGTTGGCCTGCCCCTGGCGCACCGTGCCGTGCCGAGGGGAGGGGGGGCGCTCAGGCCGACCAGTTGGCGCTGAAGGGGTGCTCGATAAAGTAGTCGTGGCCCTTTTCCTCGTAGTCGCGCTTCGAGATGGCCGTGGAGCGGAAGGCGTCGTTTTGGGTCGAGCACCAGCGCGCCATGCCGCGCCAGGCGTCGAAGCGGGCGTCTTTGGCGGGGCGCACGTAGATGGGCAGCGAGGCGGGCTGGGTGGCGCGGATCGACGAGCTGAGGCGCGCGCCAAAGTTGGGGTAGAGGGTGTGTCGGCCCGTATAGAAGATGTTCTGGACGCGGTGGGGGCAGGGAGCGGGTTCACAAGAGGAGGGAGAAGGGCGACCGTGACTTTAGCTGGGGTTGATTCGATCCGAGATGGGTCGGGGGCAGCGGGTCGCGCGGTCAGGCAGACTCACCTTCATGAGTTTGGCGCGCGTGTCGACTTCGAAGCCGTTGAGGACGTGGGCGCAGATCTCGTCGAGTCCCGCCTGGTCGACGCCGGCGATGCCCGGCTGCCAGAGCACCTCGGGCACGCGGATCCGCTCGACGTTGAGGTGCAGCTGGTGTGCCCGCTTGATCGTCTCCGGGTCCGACTCGTTCTTGTCCGCCGCATCCTTGTCCTGTGCTCCCTTTTTGCCCCCCGCTCCCGCCCCCGCCCCCGCTGCCGCCGCCGCCGCCTGGGCCTGGAGGTCTGAACCGATGGCTGCCTCGTCCCCGCCGCCCGGACCGTTGAAGAAGGTCAATGTGAGCCGGTTCTTGCGCGCCAACCGCGCCGCGTACGTCTCCTCGACGGTGAACGTTGGGTCAGACTGGAGCAGCCGCTGCTCGATGGCCGCCAGCTGGGCAAACGAGTCTTCCTCCTCTTCCGAATCGTCGGCGTTTTGGATCTCGCGGTAGATGGCCCAGTCGTCGTCGTCGGCTCCGAATGTGTCCTCGTCGCCGCCGCGCTTGCGCTTGCGTGCGCTTCCGCCGGGCGTGTTGGCGCCGCTGCCGCCGGGTGAGTCCGAGGCGAGTGCGGTGATGTTCTTCATGCGCTGCTGGGCCGCCAGCGACTTGCGGTCCGACAGCATCTCTTTGAGCCGCTTGCGCTCCTTGATGCGGTCGATGGCGTCGTCGTAGTCCTTGCGCATCCTCGCGCTCCACGCCTTGGGGTCGTTGATACGCTCGTCTTCGTCGCGCTGGATCTCGAGGTCTCGCAGCCGTTTCTCTTCAGCCTTTTCTGCTTTGGCGCGCAGGCGCGCGTCGTGGCCGGCCTTCATCAGCCGCTGCCGCCGCTTCTCCTTGACCCCCTCCTCGTCCAGATCGGCGTCGGGCACGTCGACAAGGGGAAAGGTGGGCTCCTCCTGCTTCTCCTCCTCGAGCTCCTCACCGAGCTCCTTTGCGCGCGACCGCTTGAGCGCAGCCTCCATCTTCTTCATTGTGGCCTCGAGCTCCTGCTCGCTGCTGAAGCCTTCGGACTCGAGGCGCTTCATGTACTCGGCCTTGCGCTCCTTGCCCTTCCACTCCTTGAGCTGCGTGTAGTACTTGAGGTCGTTTTCCTTCTGCAGCATCTTTTCGAGGCGCATCTTGCGCGTCTGCTCCAGCAGGCGCCGCCCGGCGGCTTTTCGCCGCTCCGCCTGCGCGTCGAGCTCCTCCTGGGACTTTTGCGCGGGGACGGCGTCGAGGTAGGGGAATTGGACGACAACGTCGGCCTTTTCCATGGCGGTCCAAGACGAGGTTGAGGCGCTCGGGTCGGACGACGTTGGGCCAAAGGCCGAGGGCATCATCTCCATGCCTCGGATGTCGGCGGCATAGTCGGTCGAGACGTAGCAGAGCTCCTCGAGCATGTCGCGGGCCTGCCACGCAGTGACCCGGGTTGGGAAGCCGGGGTACTTGAGCTGCGTCAGGCGGAAGAGGAGGTCGGTGGCCTGGGCGCCGCCCCAGCTCAGCCTGGCGCGGTGAGACAGAGAGGGAAGGAGGATGCGATGAAATGAGAAGAGATCCGATGCGGAACGATCGTGGGTGCCTCTGTGGCCGCGCACGGTCTGCTCACCTCTTTGCATTTGTGAGGACGCCCTTTGCAGCGACCATGGGTACGACGACGGTGCTGTTGTGGCCGCTGGACACGACGAGCGCATCGTCGCCGACGCCGTTCTGGTAGGCGCTGAAGAGGCAGTCGAGGCCGTAGTTTACGTAGGGAACGTCGTAGGCCTCGAACATGAGCTCGTTCATGATGCTCCTGCTGTAGGCCGGGTTGCAGAGGGTCTCTGTCATGCAGATGGGGTGTTGGACGCGTTCGGTGTCGATGCCGAGGTTGGCAAAGGTATAGTCGAGCATGGTCTCCATTGCGTCCCAGCCGCAGACGACGTCGTTGTCAAAGGGGCTGCGGATTGCGCCGCGGGTGAGGCCGTCTGCGTAGACGTCGTTTCCGGCGAGGAGGAGGGTGAGGTTCTTTTTGCGGTCGCGCACCTTTGAGACGAGGTTGTCGTAGTGATAGGGCGGACCGCGTGCAATGACGTCTGCTGCGGCCGAGGGATCTGCGTGGCAGAAGCCTGCGCGGAGCTCCGAGGAGCCGTTGTCGATGATGAGGGGGCATTGCGAGTTCCAGTAGGGAGAGGCGTGGTAGTCGAAGCGGGTGAGCGGGGTGGGTTTGGGCGGATCGACTGCGGCGTGGACGGGGACGGCGGACAGTGGCGAGGGGGATGGGCCAGTTGCCGAGTCTGCGGTGGCGACGGGCGCCATATTGTGGGCGGTTGGCGCTTGGGAGCTGGAGCGGCGTCGAGTTCGAGGCCGACGATGGAGGCTGGCTGGGAAGATGGTCAGGATGGGGTGCGGGGGCTTGACCCTGAATGCAGCCTGGCCGGCCGGGCGGCGAGCAAGATGGGCGCGTCGTTTCGGAAGTCGGGACTGGCGCGGGCGGGGCCTGGCCAGGCGGAGCACGCACGGTGCGGGCTGAGCTCCCGCGTGCCCGTATATGTCGCTGGAGCCGCTCTCGAAGTCTGGCAACCGGCGGACCCGCTGCGACACGATGTCGAGCCACGGGCGGGCCTCGGCGACTCTTTTGGGCTCGACAGCGGCTTAGGTGGCCGGTCAAGGCGAGGCGAGGCCGTTTGAGGTTGGCCTACCAGGCGGCCGGCCCAGGAGCCATGATGGCATGAGACGGGCAGAGCAAGCCTGGCCAGGCAAAGCCCATCGAGAAGAGATAGAGCGAGAGGTGGAGCGAAGCAGGCCCACCGCAGACGAAGCGACGTTCGGAAAGGGATGAGCCGTGGCCTCGCCTGCGGGGGGGCAATGTGGGCGGAGTGGCAAGGACCAGCCCTGTGGCAGGCCAGCTGTCAGCCAGCCCCAGCCTGCGAGGTCAGGCCAGCAAACGCGCTCGAATAGCCGGCCTTTGCCGCGGCCAGGGTTTGGCAGCGGCCCCCCTCTCTCCTCTTCGCCATCCTCGTCGCTCAAGCCGTCCGTCGTCGGCGCCGCCGCCGCCGCCGCACGCCGTCATGCCACGCTGCTCGCTGTCTCGTCGTCGTCCTCGCCATCGTCTATAAAGTGGTCGGCCGGCCCACCACCATCGCTCCGCACAGCACTCGTCTCCCCTCAGGCCAGCCTAGATCCCAAGCCCCTCCCCCTTCGCCCCTCGCCCCCCGCGCACTCACCCTCCCGATCCACCCGCCATGCCCTCCGCCGCTCCCGCCACCGCAACCGCGGCCTTCCCCTACCAGCACCATGAGGATTTCGACCCACAGCACTTCCGCGACGAGCTGCAGCACATCGCAAAGCAGCTCGGTCCAAACGCACAGCTCACCGACCGCGCAATCGCAGAGAGCCTCGACGCCGCTGACCCGCTCAACGCAATGAGGCACCACTACCACATCCCCACCCTCGCAGACGTCTGCGACCCCGCCGCCCTCTCCCAGTCCAACCCGGACGCAAAACCCACCGACGAGGCCCTCTACATGTGCGGCAACTCGCTCGGCCCGCTCCCAAAGCTCTCGGAGCACTACGTCGGCCAGGAGCTCGACGCCTGGAAGCGCAAAGCCGTCATCGGCCACTTTGGCCACCCCTACAACCGTCCCTGGACCTCGATGGACATCCACGTATCGGAAATGTGCGCAGACATCGTCGGCGCAAAGCCCTCCGAGGTCACCGTCATGGGATCCCTCACCGGCAACCTCCACAGCCTCCTCGCCACCTTCTACAGACCCGCCGTCAAGCCCTTCGGCGTCGGCTTCCGCGGCGACGTAGACGAGGCCAGGCAGCGCGGCCAAAAGGTGCGCCACAAGATCGTCTACGAGCTCAAGGCGTTTCCCTCGGACCGCTACGCCCTTGGCTCAGTCATCGAGCTCAACGGCTTTGACGTCGAGACGTCCCTCGTCGCCCTCGCGCCCCGCCCGGGCTCGAAGACGCTCGAGGAGCAGGACATTCTCGACACCCTCGACCGCCTCGGACGCGAGGGCGAGACCGCGCTCGTTCTCCTTGGCGGCGTTCAGTACTTTACCGGCCAGTTCTTCAACCTGCCCCGGCTCTGCGCAAAGGCCCACGAGCATGGCATCCTCTTTGGCGTCGACCTCGCCCACGGCTTCGCAAACGTGCCGCTCAAGCTCCACGACTGGAACGTCGACTTTGCCGCGTGGTGCACCTACAAGTACGGCAGCTCCGGGCCCGGAGGCATGGGCGGCCTTTTCGTCCACCAGCGCTGGACCGACCTCGCCGCCGACGAGCAGCTCACCCGGCCCGCAGGGTGGTACGGCCACGAGCGCCAGACGCGGTTCAGCATGCCCGAGCACTTCAAGCCCGTCGCCGGCGCTGGCGGGTGGCAGGTGTCGAACGGATCGGTGCTCGACATGGCTTCGCTGCGCGGATCGCTCGAGACCCTCTTCAAGGTCAAGCAGCTCGTCCAGTTGCCCAAGTCGGCCACGGCAGCGACACAGAACGGCAACGGCAGCGGTGGCGGTGCTGGTGGCGCCGACGCTGAGGCGGTGGGCTACGGTACCGTGATGCCCATCCTCCGCGCCCGCTCGCTCCGCCTCACGTCGTACCTCGAGCTGCTCCTCACCTCGCCCGGCTTCCTGCCGGACAGCGTCGACGTCAAGCTCGTCACGCCATCGGATCCCAAGCAGCGCGGCTCGCAGCTCTGCATCCAGTTCCCCGAGACCGACGCTGCACCCGCCACGGCGCCGCCAGCACCGGCACCGGCACCGACGGGCGCTGACGGCGAGGTGCCGCCACCGATCGACGACAAGAAGCTCGTGGCGCGCGCCCACGCCCGCGCCGAGAAGCGGAGGGGTCTCGTGGCCGACATCCGCCACCCGGACATTCTTCGCCTCGCTCCCCTCGCGCAGTACTCGTCGTTTGTCGACGTCTTCCGCACCGCAGAGGCGCTGCGCGTCAGCATCCTCGAGGAGATTGAGGCGTCCAAGTAGGGGCGCGACATGGTCCGGCCGTTGTAAATTATAGAAGGGGCTCTAGGAGTCGCCATGTGCGCTGAGCAGGTCACTTATCGTCATTGTCTGTCTGCTGTACTGTGCGATAGTCGCATGTCGAGATGCGGGTGCGGGTGCGGATGCGGGTGTGGGCGTGCTCTACTGCCCGTGCTCGTCGGCAGCGGGTCAAGACGAAGTCGGACTACCGGCAGTCAGTCAGCCGATCCGAGCCGACGGCTCTCTAGAGGAGGACGGGACTGTCGATGACGCTGAATCCGACAGCGACGCCGCCTTCGTCGCTCTCCCTCGCCTTTGTGCGGAGGAGGAACCCGCCGGAACGGTGGTGTCGCACCTCGATCTTTCCCTCTGCCCCTTCGTCGTCGTGGTCGCGGTAGAGGATGGAACCGTAGACGCCGAGTTCCGATACGACGTCGTGCGCCAGTACCGCCGCGCCCGGCGAGACGGAGGATGCGGATGAGGCCTTGACGAGCCAGTTTCCGATACCCGGCGGCGGCTGGATGAGGGACATGAGGATGTACCCCTCTCGCCTCTTGACCGCCTCTCCTTCGCCACCGCCGCCGCCGTCGATACTGCCGGCGGTGGATGGTGTGACAAGGCCCTGGGCGTCGAGACGTTCCATCTCGTCGAGAGCGGGCGGGATATCGTGTCGGTATACATTGTTGCCGCCGCCCTCGCGCTGCGGCTTCATGACGAACCGGTGCGGCTGCGCGCGCGCGAGACGGTAGGCCTCCTGTCCCAGCGCCGACGCGTCGAGCGGGTACAGGTCCGTGTAGCTCTGTCGCACCCGCTCCACCTCGTCCTTGGACACGGCGCGGCCGCCCGTCTTGGCAGCGTCGAGGAGGATCGACTCGGTGCACTGCGGCTCCGAAAGCACCTGCTGCACCTTTTTGGCCCCCGCCAGCTGCAGCGCCACCGTCGGACACTTGATGGCGTACGACGACTCGAGCCGCTCGCGCAGCTCCCACTCGGACTGGGTCGGGTAGTCGCCTGGCCCGTAGCCGGCTCGGAAGTAGACGACCGACACCTCGATCGCCTCGCCGCCGTAGGACGGTACGACGTGGAGCCTTCGATCGGCGCCCTCGAGCATGGCGCTGGTCTGCAGCTGCGTAAATGTCTGCCGCAGCACGGGAATGCCGTGCGTCGTCGTCAGGCTGTCCTCGATCCAGCGCTGGTCGAAGGCGTTCCGCTCGTGTTCCTGTACGACAAAAAGGACGACGGGGCTCAGGGGCAGCGGCGCCTTGGCTGCATCGGCGGCCGCAGGGGCGAGCCCTCGCTGCTCGAGGTAGGCCTTGTGCGCCGCGGCCAGGCCGGAAGAGAGGACATCGAGCGCCTCGTTCTCGGGCAGCCGGTCGAGCTCGGCGAGCTTGCCGTCGTGGGCGCCAAAGTATCCTGCCGAGTTGCGCGCGACGTGGCGGTGCAGGGCGGCGACCTTTGTGCAGAGCGCGCCAAAGCTGGCCGAGATGGTGTTGAACTCGACCTGCTTGAGCTGCAGCTCGCTTGCCCGCCCCTCTTTGCCGTCCTCGTCGTCGTCGGGGCGATGGAGGAGGTAGTCGCTGCGGAAGAGGCCGAGGCCGAGCCTCTGCCTGCTGCGCCGGTCCGGATTCTGGAGATGCTGGTAGATCTTCCAGAGGGACGCCTGGAAGCTGTCGACTTTGGACACGCTCCCGCCGACGACGCGCTTGAGAAAGTCGGGCGACGAGGCGAGCGAGGCATAGAGGACGTCGTAGGTGGGCTGCAGCGACTGGGCGTAGTCAAAGAGCGGGCGAGGAAAGGGAGAGGGGACGAGGGAAAAGGGGGCGTGGATCACGCTGTCGTACGGCGGCGTCGGCGCAGGTGCGTCGGTCGAGGACGAGGACGAGGACGGGGACGAGGACGCGGGCGGGGGAAGAGGGCGGTAGACGATGCCGTTGGCAAGGGCGTAGTCGGTCGCGAGGTGGGCGAGGTGGCCGATCTGCTGCACCGTCAGCGAGCTCGGCGGCCAGGTTGGCAGAGTGTTGGGCGTCGTGTTGGCCATGGCGAGGGGCAGTTGAATGGCGGAACAGGAAGAGAGAGAGAGAGGGGAATTGTGGTCGTGGTGGGCGCAAGAGAAGGGGCGGTGGTGAGGACCCTCGTATGGCCTGGCCTGGCTGCTCGGCTCGGCCTTCTTTCTTCTCAGCCCTGCCCGCCCGCCTTGAGCCAGCTGTCTAACTCCGGACCGGCACACGGGCCACCACCTCACTTTTCTCTCTCTACACACACACTCTCTTCTCTTGACCTCGATCCACGTCCATCCACCATCCCTCGACGCCGTTCAACCAAGCCCGGTCCATTGCAGTCCGCCTTGGATCAGCCCAAGATGACGACGACGACGACGACAACGACAACGACGACGACACCGCACCCGGCGATACGGCAGGCGAACACGACGGCATTCACGCGGGACCTCGAGTTCCTCTCGTCGCTGGCCAACCCGTACTACCTGCACACGCTGGCCACCCAGGGCCACCTGTCGAGCCCTGCGCTGCTCCTCTACCTCCGCCACCTCAACTACTTTCGCCACCCGCGCTACGTAAAGTACCTCCAGTACCCGCAGGCGCTCCACATGCTCGACCTGCTCCAGCACCGCGAGTTCAGAGAGGCCCTCAAGGACCAGGGATGGGCCAACGAGGTGGCCAACCGCCAGGCTAGACACTGGGCTACTTGGTACGTCGTCGTCGTCGTCGTCGCTGTCGTCGTTGCACGCAGCCGAGATCATACACTACCCTTTCTTGCGGGTCTCGCGCGCATCGTATCTCACAACGGCTTCCATCTTCTTGTATCGCGATCAAACAGGCGCGATCCGACAGGCGACACCCTCGAAGGAGACGATGCTGCGCAGCTACAAGGGGCCGAACCGGCCGACGTCAAGCCGCAACAGCCACAAGCACAGGCAACCCCCGCGCAGGCATCAGCGCAATGAGGCGGGCGGACATCTCGCCCATCCGCATCTCCGTATTGCCATTCCGTATCGCACCTGATCCCGCTTCGAGCGCACGACTCTACCATCACTGTATTCTAGCCGCATGGTCCGGGCACCAGACTCGGGCTCCAAGTCCACAACGATCCGCGCCGTCTCACCTCTCGACGTACCCGTTGCCCGTCTCCCTCTCGCCGCTCGTGTCCCATCCGGCGAGATCCGCCTCTTCCTGGATCTTTTCCTGCCTCTCCTTCTCCCTCTGCCGCTCGGCAGCCGAGACGATCTCGACGCTGACCTTGTGCGTATCAATCTCGACGGCATCGCCGCGTCCAGAGACCGACTCGGTGTCGCGGTCGAACAGCACCGCATCGCCGTCTCCGTCGCCGTCGTCGTGTCGCAGCGCATCGTAGCCTCCCCTTGCGCCGCCAGATCGACCTGGGCCCCTCGTCGTGGCGAGCGAGTGGACGTCGCTGCCCCTCTCCCGCGTCGAGCGCGGCCGACCCAGCGAGTGGGCCAGCGACGAGGCGCGGGATCGCAGCGACTCGCTCAGCTCATTGAGGCCCGTCGACGACGACGTACGGCTGAACGCCGTCGGTCCCTGGGTAATCAGGCGGTACTTGAGGTAGTTGTACAGCCCGATGCCTACAGAGGGGAGCCAGCAGGTCAAGATAGGAAGAGAGAAGAACAAGGGTCAGCTTCAAGTCCGAGGGCAAGGCGGAGGCAATGGTGGCCCCGCCGCGGGCACTCACCGACCAAGGCGATGCAGAGGCCCGTAATGTTGATGGGCGTCAGCTCGTCGCCAAAGATGGTGCTGGCAATCATGATGGTCAACACCTCCTTGAAGATGCCCGCCACCGACAGCGTCACCACCGACGTCCTCTGAATCAGGCTGCCATCCGGTCGAAGCAAAGAGCCAGTGAAGGGTTGGGGAACAAAGAACGGGTCAGCGACCTGCGCCCTCAAAGACAGCCGAATGCCTGCCCCTCTATGCCCGCCAGCGACACTCACGCAAACTCGCTCAGGTTCATGCCAAACGCCAGCACGCCGGGCGCCGTGATGAGCGCGACCGTCTTGAGGGAGCGGAAGAGCCCATCGAACCAGCCGCCGTCGCCGCCAAAGATGGCGTGCCAGTCCTCAAAGATGGCGCTGAAGACGACCAGGCATGCGCCCATGACGGGCGCCAGCCAGAAGATGGTGGCGATCGGATTGTTGAGGCCCATGCCGTCGCGATCGAGTAGCATCTGCGTCAGCGTCCACCGCAGCCCGCCCATGGCCGATGCGGTGAGCACCTGCACGGCCCCTACCAGCACAAACTTGGTCTCGGCCGCCACCATCATGACCACCTGCGGAGCGAGGATAGGCGGGGGCGAAAGTAAAAGCGGGAGGTGTCAGCCGTCGTACGTTGTCGATGTGCGACGCGGATTCACGCTCATCCAGACTCACGCCGATGGTGATGAGCGCGATGATGCCGATCAGCGACCAGCGGATGATTTCGAGCCGGAAGAGAAAGGCGAAGAAGAGGACAAACGCGAGGTTCGACGACTTGCACATGGCTGCCGTTCGGTCGAGGCAGAAAAGACGAGTGGGCAAAAGGCAGACGACGTCAGCGGCACGTTGGACAGGGTCAATCGACAAGACGCAAGGCCATGCTCCCTCGTCCGGACTCAACTGTAAAACGTCAGTGTGATGGTCTTTAGGCTGGTGTTGGACAGACCGATGTCCAAGGCTGTTGCTGCGGCGCATGGCACCACCTTGGACCTGCCGAAGCGGCGGGAGGAAAAGGCATAACGAGGGAGGGAGAGAGCGAGGCGATGTGAGCCCTCCGTGGCGGTAGAGAAGACGCCCTCGCCCCCGCCGGCGCCGCACTCACGCCCAGTCGTGCCCGCTCGGCCGCGCCCTCTCGCCGTTTGGCTTGCGCGGTACGAGCTTCTCGTCAAACAGCTTCATGGCAAGGCTGGCCAGGATGAACTGCATGACCATGTGGCAGGTGGTGACGAACAGCGGAAAGGAGAAATTGAGTCGGTCCGGCGAAAACATCCACTTGTTGTAGATGGATATCAACGTCGAGAACGTATCTGCGCAGCGAGGCGTAAGAGGCAGTGGGGAGGAGCGAGGAAGGAGGAGGTCAGGTCCACCACATCTGCTGCCGCACAGCAGAGGAGACTTCGCCAGGCAGGAGAGACTCACACCATCCGCCGATCAAGGTGAGGTTGACGGCGGCCGCCCGCCAGTAGGCCCTTTTGCGCTCCTTGGTGGTGCCCCCATCGACGTGCTCGAGGGCCCTGGTCGAGATGGTGTTGGACGCCTCGGCCGCTAGCCGCCAGTAGGACCCTCCCCCCGCGATTGACGAGTTATCTCCGTCCCGCGACCTCGCGGTGGCCGTGCGTCCATCTTCGCCGTCGTCGTATCTGGGTCGCGCCGTGTCGGATCGGCGCTTGCCGCTCAGCAGGCCCGCCTCCCCGCTCCCGTCCTCTTCTTCCTCGTCGAGGTAGCCTCCTATTCTCCCGGCGCCGCTCCTCGTCGCCTGCGAGTCAGAGGACCGAACCCGCTCGGCCGAGGAGCGGGCGGCAAAGTAGATAGGGGCATCGCCTTCCTCGTCGTCGTCGCTGACGCCGCTTCTTGCAGACTTGTGAGATCGAGCGTCGGACCCGCGGCTTGTATATGTGGAAGAGTCGATCAAGGGCGATGAGGAGGTATCGACCGGCGTGGTGAGGCTCGTAGGGCCGCTGCTGTCTTGCCCCGAGGACGATGAGAGTGGATTGGTCGAAGACGTGGCATCGGTCCAGGCGTTGGCATTGTAGGATGGGGATGCCATCTTCCTCCCAGACAGGAGCTGGAGCGTGCCACCAGATCTCTAGGCTGGTCGATGCGCTGTCAGAGGATACGATGACCGAGCCGGAGGTGTCCGGTCGAGAGTGTGCGTTTGCTGATCCGTCAACCCTCTGACGGGTTGCGAGCTGGTGATGGAGGTCGGGCTAGCCCTTCCATCAAGAAGCAGGGTCGTAGGCTGATGTAGCGAGACGGAAGCAAGAGCAAGCTGCAGAGACCGAGAACTGTACGCTGTGATATCGAAAAAGGGGAGAATGGTGTGGTGCCGGGCCAAGCTGGCCAGCAAGAGGGCCGGGGTGTGGGGTCGACAGGCCAGCCCTGCAGCCGGCGAGCCAGCCAGCCAACCGGGGAAAGCCCTCCGTCGGCTTTCGGGACGTCGACTCCGCCGAAAACGCAGGCTCGCAGGTTAAGGCAAGGGGTGGCCCATGCTCCGCCCGCCTCCTCTTCCCGAACCAATGGAAGATACTCCGCAATACGCGGGAGCCTGCCCACCTCAAAGGCAGCGGCGAGCAAGCATGACACTTTAGCGTTGGCGATCCACATCCGGCCATGTACATACACTCATGGTGGCGGCCGCAAGACAAAACACAGAAGAAAGGTATAGGCAATAGGTATCGGGCGGCAGCGCGGCGGGAGGCAGAAGACCATCGAGGGTCGACTGACCCACAGCCGCGACTCGTGGGCACGGGGTCACATTCGTCGAGTCTATGGCAAGCAGGGCATAAGAGCAGGCGCTCGGAACGCGCAAGGCAGTGCGACGGCTCAGAGGTGCGACTCGGGCGTCTTGAGGTCGACCTCGGCGAGGACCTGGTCGACGTCGATGCCGGCCTTGTCCTTGACAAAGCCGCGGCAGAAGCGGAAGAGCTCGGCGGCCAGCGAGCCGTCGTCGTCGCGGGCGATGCTCGACTTGGATCCGAGCTTGGCCGTGGGGACGAAGTAGGAGCCGCTCAGCTTCTTGCCGTCGACCTCGGGCGAGGTGCAGGCATAGAGCTGCGTCAGGGCGCCCTGGTCCGGGTGGGTAAAGAAGAGGCGCGAGCTGAGGTTGAAGAACGAGCCCAGCAGGCTGCCGTACGACTGGTTGGCGCCGCGCAGCAGGCCCGTGTTGACGACGCCCGGGTGGAGCGAGAGGCTCGAGATGCGCGCCGACTCGGGCAGCATCCGCTTGAGCTCGTCGGCGATGAGGATGTTGCCGAGCTTCGAGTTGGCGTAGCGCGTCCAGGTGCCGCGCACCTCGGGCGCGTACTGCTTGTTGATGCCCTCGAGGCTGGTGAAGTCGGGCCGAGAGCGCGTCATGGTGTGGCCCATGCTCGACACCTGGACGACGCGCACCGTGGCGTCGCCCTGCTGGTACTCGGGCAGCTGCGACGTCTTGACGAGCTTGGGCAGCAGCAGCATCGTCAGCAGGTAGTGGGCCACGACGTTGGTGCCCATCTGCAGCTCCAGGCCGTCCTTTGTGAACTCGTAGGGCGTGGCCATGACGCCGGCGTTGTTGAGGAGGATGTCGAGGCGGTCGCTGGCGGCGTTGAACTGGTCGGCGGCGCGCTTGACGCTGGCCAGCTCGGTCAGGTCGAGCTCAATGAAGCTGACGTCGGCGTCCGGGTGGGCCTTTTTGATGCGCTCGATGGCGTCGCGCGCCTTGGACTCGCTGCGCGAGGCCATAAAGACCTTGGCGCCGTGGGCCGACAGCTCGCGGCACGAGATCCTGCAAGTGGCGCGAGGGGGCCGGGAAGCGAAGGGGTCAGGATGGGGTGGTCTCGAGTGGCGAGCTGCAAGTTTCGTCATGGTGTGGCGTCCTTCGCCGTCAGACTGTAAACGCCCGCTCCTTGCCCATCGCCAGCGCACTCACTCTCCGAGACCGCCATTGCCGCCGGTGACGAGGGCCACCTTGCCAGAGAGGTTGGGGATGTCCGAGGCCTTGAAGGTCATTGCGGAAACGGACTGTGTGCGTGCAGGGATGGATAGGCTGGTGAGGGCAGGTGCGAGTTTGCGATTATGGAGGGGGTGGTGGCGGGATGGACGAAGCAGTGCCGGTAGAGAAGTAGAGATGGAGGGTGGGGTGGGTGCTACTTGGGGTCTGACGGCAGCGGAGGGAAGGGGCAAGCAAGGATATATGGAGCACCGCCGTGCGCCGTTAGCGCAGCCGCGGCCACTCGGCTGTTGGTCGGTCGGCAGCGGCGGTGACGATTTGCGAAATCTCGCCCAGCGATCTTTCACGCAGTCGAGCAGCGGCGAGCGGTGAGCGGTGAGCGGCAAGCCAACTTCCGGCGGCCAGGTCATCCTTCCTCCACACGTTTTCCCTGGATCTTGCCCGACTTCCGATTTCTTCCTCGGACTCGACCCGCACGTACTACTATCCCCGGGCCACGCCGCTTCCCCTTCCATCCTCTGCGACGGCCACCGACGATCGCATCGGGCAGTAGAGTGTCGCTCCTTCGATCATCAGCAATGCGCTGAATGGCTCCATTTCGTTTGCTGGTGGACAGAGGGATGGACAGCCGGAGTCGCCGTACAACCTGGACTCCGCCTGACTGCTGAGCAGCGTGAGAGAGCGCCCGACACATTTAGGAGCCGAACCAGCTGCGGGAACCGCACCGAGAGGTTGATTGAGAGGGTGTCAGACGACCGACATCGGGCATCGGCAACAACGACAGCAAGGAGCGACTCACCCTCCAGAGTTGAGGTGCAGCACGGCGCCGGTCATGGTGTTGGTGGCGCCAGAGTCACTGTTCGGACAAAGGCAAGAGGGCCGAGAGCGAGGACGAGGTATGTCAGCCCGGAGATTATCCCCTCACGAGCTCGTTGCCGACGGAAGCGCAACTCACGCCAGGTAGACGTAAGAGGCGCCCAGCTCGGCGGGCTGCGCCGGGCGGCCGTGGAGCGGGATCTGGCCGATGCCCCAGCCCTCCATGTTGTCGGCGCTCCTCGAGGCCGGCTGAAGCGGCGTGTACACAGGGCCGGGAGCGACGGCGTTGACGCGGATGCCGCGCGGGGCGAGCTGGAGGGCGAGGGATCGCGTCAAGGTGCACAGGGCGCCCTTGGTGGCGCTGTAGTCGACCATGGCCGCCGAGCCCTTGTAGGCCGTCACCGACGTCGACTGGATGATGGTCGAACCGCGCTTCATGTGGGGCAGCGCGAACTTGGTCACGGCGAACTGCGGCAGACAGAAAATTTTCGCTACGTCAGCACTGGAACTTTGAGGCACAGCCGTCAGCAGAGGCGCGGGCGACGATGCGTACAGTGCCGAGAATGTTGCTGCGGAAGGTGCTCTCGACGTTGTTGAGGTCAGTGTCCTCAAAGTTCTTGCACGAGATCTGCTTGCTGGCGTTGTTGACTGTGGTCAGGTGCAGGGCGGAGAAAGCATCAAGGTGCCGAAAGGTCAGCAAGGTGTGGTTCAGCGCGACGGCACCGTTCGCAGGGAGCTGTGCTCACCGACGACGTCGATGCTGCCCCACTTTTCGAGGTGCTTGTCGATGAGCATCTTGCAGTCCTCTTCCTTCATCAGGTCGAGCGGGACGAGGTTGATTTCCTTGTTGCCCATGGGCGCCTCGGCGCACAGCTTCTTGACGTCGTCGGCGTCGGGCTGCTCCTCGGGCAGGTAGGCGATGGTGACGTTGGCGCCCTCGCGGGCGAAGAAGAGGGCGACCGACCGGCCGATGCCGCTGTCGCCTCCGGTGACGATGCATCCCTTGCCCTGGAGCCGGCCGGTGCCCTTGTACTCCTCGAGGTACGGGTTGCCCTCGTTGTCCCACTTTTCGACCTTGATGTGCTCGGCAAGCGGGCCCATATCCCTGTCGAGGCCGGGCAGCGACTCCTGCTCCTGACGGCCCGGGTAGTAGTTGCGGTACGCCGTAATGACGCCGTCATCGTCCTTGGTCGACTCGCGCTTCGACGACGACATGGTGGTGGCGGGTGGCTGGAAGGGATGCTCTGCGAGGAAGGGGTGCCGCGATGCTAGGTGGCCGTATCGAGGCCGGGATTCAAGGAGTCGGGCGGTTGTGGGGATGGCGGGGAGGTGGTGGGAACGGCAGGCCTGCCCTTTGCCAGCGTCGTATTTGTAGGAAGGCCGTCGCCTCGTCGTGGGGGAAGCTCGCGCTGTTCTTGGCTCGTCATCGTCGAGCAGGCAGGCTAGGCATCGATCGAGAGGGGCCTGAAGCGTTCGTCAGCTCATGCCAGGCCAGGTCGCGATGGTCGAGGGAGGCCGGTGGCCAAACTTGGCGCGGGCATGAAGCCAAGCGGATGACTGATGTGACAGCTGGCCGTGGACCCTACGTGCAGGCAGGCAGGCTAGGCAAAGGGCCGGGCCGCTGCGAAGGGCCAGCACAGGCCAACAAGCCAGCAGAGGCGTCATTGGCCTGCCGGCCATCCCGATGCAATCGGGACTACGATTTTGCCGTTCATCGCAAGTCCCCGATACAGCCCCACACCCGCGGGAGAGGCGGACGGCTGATTCGCCACCCACTGCCGGCAACAAAGTGGTGATGGGCATCCATGACCGGTGGCTCTCGAGACAGCGACGACCGAGTCAGAGTACGTCAGGCTCGCAGCGACCATCCGACCGAGTCACTTGAGGGCGATGCTGGTCGAGTCGAGACGTGGCGTGGCGGCTGAGCCCAGCCTAGCCTGGCTGGCCTGGCCTGGCCTGCTGGACTTCCTCCACACGCCGGCCTGCGCACGCCCGGCAGCGCTGCAGCGCTTCCCCACGTTGTCAGGGCGAGCCAAGCTGAGCGGCCCCTCCGGCCCGCCCACACCTCCTCCCTTTGGCCTGGGCTTACGCGCACGCTGCTGGCGGCCTTTCCATCGCCGTCCCTTTTTGCCACCACCATCCTCAACCTCCTCTTTCCCCCGGCGCACCCTGTCGAGCGCGGGCTGCCAAGAGCTACAGCACATTCGCCCCTCTCGGCAACACCAACGCCACACCGCTAGCCTCATCCATCAGCGCCACCCCACGCCTCATTTTGCCACACGGCACGACCATCCTGCATCGCCTGCCAGCCTCTTGGCCCTTTCTTTGCTCGCCATGTCGACCGGCAGCAAAACGGCGCCGACAACTGGGGCAGCCGCCGTAGCTGCCTCCTATCCCCGCACCCAGCCAACACCCAAAATCACCGCGACCGCTGAGCAGGCCTCCAAGCCGAAATCGTCGGCCAACAGCGCTGTCGCTGCTGCCGCCAAGGACAAGAAGAGCCACACCGTCGACACATTGACGTCCTCTCTCCAGAGCACCTCGCTCGGCAACGCGCCTCTCGACCTCCGCGGAAAGACGCTCAAGGCATTACTCCTCGAGCCTGTCCGCGAGCGCGAGGCCCCAACGAAAGTCGCCGAGGCTCAGTCTGCGACAGGGCACGACGGAGCGGCGGTTACCGACGCCGCATTAGCACCAGAGGCTCCAAAAGAGGTCGGGCTGGCCGACTACATCGCCGACCGCATCACGCGTGAGGGCGGCGAATTCGTGCTCCACGTCGGCTCGGCCCAGCAGAACGGCGGCCAGCCCATGTCGCTGTCGCAGAGCGAGCTCGAACAGGCCATCGCCAATGTCGAAGCCGCCAGCAAGATTGCCGACTGCGACTCAAAGCTCCTCCATGTCGAGACCACCCAGGATGGCGAGAGGATAGCCCACCTGATGATCCGCCGCATCCCTGCCAGCGCCGAGGAGCTCGTGGAGCTTCGCATCGCCGTCATTGGCAACGTCGATGCCGGCAAGAGCACCATGCTCGGCGTGCTGACAAAGGGCGGCCTCGACGACGGCAGGGGCAAGGCGCGCGTCAACCTCTTCCGCCACAAGCACGAGATCGAATCGGGCCGCACCAGCAGCGTCGGCATGGAGATCATGGGCTTCGACTCCAAGGGCAGCCCCGTCACCAACGGCAACGGCAGCGAGCCCGGCAGGAAGATGTCGTGGGAAGAGGTCTGTGCAAAGGCCTCCAAGGTGATTTCGTTTATCGTGAGTGCCTGGGCGCCGATCGTCGCCTCGACTCGGGTCGCGGGAACAGGGTTGCTGATGGTGCGTCGTCCCTCGCCGGGTTTCCCTGCCTACCCTCTGCAGGACCTCGCTGGTCACGAGCGATACCTCAAGACGACCGTGTTTGGCATGACGGGTTGCCTGCCGGACTTTGTCATGCTTATGGTCGGCGCCAATGCCGGCCTGATCGGCATGTCCAAGGAGCACCTGGGCATTGCGCTGGCCTTGTCGGTGCCCGTCATCGTGTGCATCACCAAGGTCGACATGACGCCCGCCCACATCCTCGAGGCGACCATCAAGCAGCTGTGCAAGATCCTCAAGTCGCCCGGCTGCCGCAAGGCGCCCGTCTTTATCGGCGACATGGGACAGGTCGTCGACACGGCGCTGCGCCTAGAGACGGAGCGCATCTGCCCCGTCTTCCAGATCAGCAACGTGACCGGCGAGAACCTCGACCTGCTGCGCAGCTTCCTCAACATCCTGCCGCAGGCCAGCGCCGCCAAGTTCCGCGTCGACCAGCCGTTCGAGTTCCAAATCTCGGACATCTTTTCGGTACCCTTCGTTGGCACCGTCGTGTCGGGCGTGGTCCTCTCGGGCAGCTGCAGGGTGGGCGACAACCTGCTGATCGGCCCGGACACGCTGGGCCAGTTTAGCGTCACGTCGATCCGCTCGATCCAGCGTAAGCGCGTCAACGTCGACGGCGCCAGCGCCGGGCAGTCGGTGTCGTTTGCGCTGAAAAAGATCCGGCGCAATCAGGTGCGCAAGGGCATGGTGATGCTCAGCCGCACCGACCCGGCGCCGCGGGCTTTTATGGAGTTTGACGCAGAGATCCTCTGCCTCTACCACAGCACCACGCTGTCGCTCGGCTCGTGCATGGTGCTGCACGCCGCCAGCATCCGGCAGACGGTGCGCATCATTGGCATCGCCAAGCTCGACGGCAAGTCGGGCGACACGCCGGCCTCTGCTGCCAACCCGGGAGGCGACAAGCCCGTAGTGAGGACGGGTGACCGCGCCAAGCTGCGGCTCCAGTTCCTGCGCTACCCCGAGTTTGTCAAGCCCGGGATGAAGCTGATTACGCGCGAGGGCAAGACGAAACTGATCGGCGTGGTCCGCTCCGTCGGTCAGTCGGGACCGCTGGTTACGGGCGGATCGCAAGCGGCTGGCGGCGCCCAATCGTCATCGTCGTCGTCGTCGGCGCCCGCGTCTGCCGTCCCGCCGGCACCTGCAGCGACCGCCGTGGGCGTCTGAAGCGGGCGCCGGCCCTCAATGAGTCTCCTGCTTGTCCTACATCGCATCCCGTCGCTGTTGCCGTTGCCGCTCCGCCCTCGCCGCGATGTTGTAGCCTGTCCCCCGCACCCGCACCTAACCCGCCTGTATCAGTAGCGCGACCCGCTCGCCCCTTGCAACCCTGTACTCTGGTCGTCCTCATTGCAAGCTGTAGAGCCTCACCTCGCCACTGCTCGCATCACTGCTGGCCGTGGTGCTCGTGCTGGTCGTCGCAGTAGCGATGGCTAGCGGGCGAAAGGGGCACGCATGGATATTCTCGCTTACGTAAGACACGCCCGCGACGCCCGCCGAGATTTTTTGAAGCCGTTGAACTTTTTCCCAAGGCTGGCTGGCTGGCGGCTGGGCTGCCCGACCGCTTTCTTTTCAGCTGAATCTGGCCGCTGCCGTCCAACAACCAACGACCACCACAGCATCGTCGCCTTGCCATCCTCACCCTCTATCGCGCAGACTCGCACGCCCGGTCTCGCCCACTCGCCGCCAGTCGCCGCCACGATGCCATCGACAAAACGCAAGACGCCCTCGGCTGCCGCGGCAATCGAGGCGCCGTCCAGCAAGAAGGGCAAGACGGCCTCGTCCTCGTCCTCGTCCTCCCGACCATCAAAGAAGGCAGCCGCCCCACCACCAGCCGAGCTACCGCTGGGCAAGGCGCTCGCATCGACCTCGAAAAAGACACGCGACCTCGCCATCCGATCGCTCTCGTCGTTCCTCTCGTCTCCGCGCCCCGCCCCGCTCTCGCCCCTCGAGCTCGAGAAGCTGTGGAAGGGAATCTTTTACTGCTTCTGGATGTCGGACAAGCCGCTGGTGCAGCAGGACCTCGCCAACAAGCTTGCAGAGCTCTGCCTCGTCTTCCCCAAGGAAAGCGAGGGAGAGGCCGAGGGCAAGGGGAAGGGGGGCGGAAGCAGGATCACGAGGGTGCGATGAGCCGGCGGGCGAGGGAAGGGTTGGAGTTCTGGAACGCCTTTTGGCGCACCATTGTGCGCGAGTGGCACGGCGTCGACAAGCACAGGATCAACAAGTTCCTCCTGCTCATGCGCAGGTTCATCAATGCCGGATTCCGCCTGCTGGCCACCGAGCAGTGGAACGCAGAGGCCACCGACCTCTTTGCCAGCATGCTCTGCGCACCCGGCGCACCCCTCGCGTACGTGTCACCCGCCGTCATCCTCCTCCCCCGACGGGCCAAGCGGCGCGAACAGGCCGATCAGTACCCTAGCTGAACCTTGCTCTGCCATCTACCCCCCTCCTGATTCCTGTCCCGCACACGCAGCGTCAACGACACAAAGGTGCCCGTCTCGATAACCTACCACGTCGCCGACATCTACCTCGAGGAGCTCGAAAATGCCGTCACGTGGAGCCAGGAACTCTCCTCGACGGAGGAGGAGGATGAGGAGAACGAAGAGGGAGGCGATGACGGCAACGGCGACGACGAGAACGTCACGCTGGTGCCCGTCACCAAGCTCCTCTCGCCCTTTATCCAGAGTGCGACAGTGGCGCTCAACAAGGTGACGTACGCCAACATCATGGAGAGCGTCATCCAGCCGTTCCTCGACGACACGCTGCGGGCGGCTCAGCACCTCGTCGATGCCGATGCGGACGATGACGAGGACGACGAGGAGGTTGAGGAGGCGGTGGCATCGAGGGACGGAAAGGCCGCGGCCAACGGCAAGGCGAAAGCCGCTGCTGACGGAGAAGGTGCAGCGGCCGAAGAGGAGGGAGAGAAGGAGGAGGAGGAGGAGGAAGAAGAGGACGACGAGAACGACGAGGCCGCATCGGACGCAGACTCGGACGACTACCCAGACTTTGACTCTGACGCCGCGGGCGACGACGAGGATGCGGTGCAGTACCCGATGCTCCTCGCCCTTGCCGAGCCCGTCGCCTCTCCCAACGCAGATGCCGACGAGGACGAGGCAGAAGACGACGAGGACGACGAGGGGCCGCTGGCGCTGCGCCGGGCCGTCTTCCGCCTTCTGTTCGAGGCGGCCTCCAGCCCCTCGGCGCACCACTCGCGCAGGAGGAAGATCTATGAGCTCTGGAGGGAGGAGCAGGATCGCCTCAATGCCCTCGACGGATCGGGCGTCGATGCCGTCCTCCCCGCTTCTGCCGCTCAAGAGACGGAAGCACTCGAAGAAGGTGACGACGATGAGGAGGAGCAGGACGACGAGTAGCCTGCCCCCCGCCTCAGTGACGTAGAACGCGCGACCTTTTGCCAGCAATCGCACCTGGGCGATCAGTGCCACTTGATTAATCAATCGGCCTTTTGACACAGGCAACGCAAGGCGGCGTCTAGAAGGGATCGTCGTCGTCGTCGCTGCCGCCGCCAGAGGGATGCCAAATGCTGCGAGAGGTGAATTGCCATTGACGCGCAGGTGCTGCTGCTTATGCCGGGCCAGGCCACCGTTGAGGATGGAGCGCCCCTTTTATGCTGATGTGGTCATGCCCAGAAGGGGTCGGGGTTCGTGTGTGCGGCCCGTGTGGATGCTAGAGAGACGAGATGTGCGGGAGAGCCACGGCGAGACCGGGAAAGACACGCTCTCAGAACAACGACGAGCGCTTTTCGTGTGTTTGTGTGTGTGAGGGAGAGAGGGAAAGACAGGGGAAAGTCGGGAATGCGTGGAAACCAAGACGGGTATAGTCGGATGGTCGCTGCGGCGAATTCTTCAAGCGTGGGGAGCCAAGATGGGCGAGGCGGACGTGGCGGCGGCGAAGCGCTCGAAGCCGCTGTCCAGCGACGGGCTGAAGGCTGTCCGACTGCGCCTCCGGTCGTGCATGGCAGCACCGCCGCCGCTGTTGCTGCGGCCGATGGCTGCGCTGGGCTGCGGCTGGAAAAAGGCCGTCGAGGCCAGGTCCGGAGGCGTGCGGTCGCCCGTGTCGCGCGGCGATGCGAAGCCAGACCTCGGGAAGCTCGCCTCGCCAGCGCCGGCAGAGGCGGCCGCGGCGCGTCGAGATGCAAAGAAGCTGGCCAGACCGGCGCCGACGGCGATCAGCAGCGTGAAGAAGATCGAGGGCAGCAAGAGCGACAGCGGCGGTCGGGGAGGCAGGCGCGACGTCGACGCAGGCGAGGGCCTGGTACCGGCTTCGCGAGGACGGGTGCCCCGTGGCATCGTCGGGCGGTCGCCACCGGCGAAGCCCGTGGAGGACAAGCCCATGGCCTCGTACAGGGGCTTGGGGAGGACCCTGCATGCGACCGCCGACGCGCTGGCAAGGGCGAAGCTGACGGGCCATGCCCGATGAGTTCGACTGCGGGCCTGCTCGGACGACCCTGGGATGTCGTAGCCGTCGGCGTTTGCGTCGTCGGTTTCGGAGGCTGGCTTCTGCGGCCTGCGATTCCTGGAAGCGGGGGATGGCGAGTCAGACAGCATGTGCATGCCCCACGCCACCGTGGCGCCGAGGTTCTTGCGCGCGCTGCCGGCGGCCGCGCCCACCCGCTGTCGCTTGGTAGCCAGGTCGTCCCAGGCCGTCAAAAAGTAGCCGGCGGCCAGGAAGCAGGCGAGCGAGACGAGCGTGATGCTCGAAATGCTGAGAAAGAGGGTGAGGTGGAAGACGGGCCGCAGCGGTGCCGACAACTGCCTCGTCAGAGTGGCAGCTAGGTTGCCGGCGGTCGCCAGCTGGTTCTGCGCCACGTTGAGGCTGTCGAGCAGCGCGACGTCCGGGATCGAGCTCGCGCGGCGGTGGCCCGCCGACGATCGAGAAGCCGGCGGTCCGCCGAATACGGTGGCGGAGCCGTGGAATTGCATCGAGCCGCGCGGGCTGACCGGGGCCGAGTAGCTCGAAGCGCGGTGGTGGTGGCCGCCGGACCGGAAGCCGTGCCTCGACCGCCTCGTGCTGTTGGAGCGCGAAGCGAATCCTTCGAAGGCATCGCAGCCATCTCGGAAGTGGCTGGGCCGCTCGTGGGCAGAGTGGATGGGCTGCGAAGCGGCAGTCGGGAAGCGGTACATGGCCGCAGCCGCGGCTGTGGCTTTGGCGACGTCGCGCAGGTCGCCATCGAAGCTGACGTGCCTGATGCGCTCGGAGGTGGCGAAGCGATCACGCCCGCTGCCGGGGTCGTAGATGGACTCGACGCCGTCCTCGGAGCGATCAAAGTGCGACCGCAGTATGGCCGGAGGCTGGGCGTAGGTATGGCCCGATCTGACCGTAGAAGTCATGCTGACGGTGCGGCTGTGGCGCGAGGTGGTCGTGAACGTTGTCGTCGTCGTCGGGGTCGCTGCCGCCGTGGTGGTGGCGGTGCTGTGCCGATCCTCGGACTCGTCGTTGGAGCTGACCTCGGGCGTGTCGGAGAGGGTCGGCGAGACGAAGCCGCTGTAGCCAAAGTGCCGCAGATGCGCGTGCTGCGAGCCCTTGTGCGTATTGGCCGCTGTCGAGGTCGAGGCGATGCCGAGCCCAAGGCCGTCCTCGCTGTGCACGCGCGCCCGCCTTGCAGAGCCTGAACGCGAAAACGAACGTGGGGCCGGATCGCCCCGAAGGCCGGACCAGTAGCGCTCGGCGTCAAAGGTGCCGACCAGGTCGTCGTAGTGACCCAGGCTCGAGACTTTGCTGTCCGGGCTGTGCTGCTCCGAGTGGCTGGCACTCTCGTCGCTCGACGCCTCGGCGCTGGTCTGGGCGCTGCTGCGGGCAGACCTGTCGACGCGGTGGGATGCGCCGCGACGGCGGACAGTGTCGCCCTGGTCGAGCTCCGAGAAGCCCTTCCAGACCTTGCGCTCCGAGGGCGTGGCGCCAGCGAGCGGTGTCTTGAACCGTCTCGCGGCCGTGCTCGATCGCGCGTCGGAAGACATCTGTGCGCGCCTCAGGCGTTCGGCCAACTGACCCGGCGGCAGGACATGCTCCCACCACTGGTCAGTCGAGCCGGCGGCCGTCTGGCTCCCGCTGGCGCTTCCCGAAGAGGGGAAGCTGTGGGCGATGGCAGGAACTGCGGTCGTTAGGTCGACTTCGGGCGACCGGTTGCCCTTGGGTCTCGGCACGTCGTTAGTCCAAGGACCCTGATACGAAGAAGGTGAGGAGCGGGGCGTCGTCGCTGCTGTGTGCTGGGCAGAGCCCGACCGGGAGCTAGAGGCCGACATCGATGCGACGAGGTCAAGATTTGAAGTCGGCAGGCAGACAGGAAGGCGAGTGCGACGTGGCGGCTCGACTGGCCCTTGCGGATGTTGACCAGATGGGGAGGGTGGTGATGGTGGTACCGCTAGACGTGTCGATGTGGCAGGACGGATTCCTTCGGCGATCTGCGATGGCTCTAGGCAGCGTCAAGATCGCAGCCGGTGTCGTCGAGGGATGGGCAACAGAGCTGATGGTTGTGGCTTTGGTGGTTGCGAAGATGCCAGCTGCTGAGCCAGACGAGGCAGGCTGCTAGGTATCGACACGACACCCAGAACGCCGAGGTCGAAGTCGGGGTCGAATGGCACAAAGATTGAGCCGGCGGCCGCAGGGAAGCCTGTCTGTCGCCAAAGATACGGACGTCGTGATGGGTGATGCAGTGTGGCGCAAGATCGAGGCGCCAGCGGTTCGAAGGGCCGGGCCTCTGTTGGGTGAAAGCCAGGGCGGACCGAGAGGACGGCAGAGCGAGAGACGGAAGCTCCGAAATGTCCCGAGGGCGCCCGGCGTTGAATGAGGTGGCGCGACCGAGGCCGAGCTTAGCTTAGAGCTCACTTTTGGGGGTGCAGGGCGAATGGCGTCATGTGCAGACGATACCAAGTGGGGGCTGCGAAGGAGTCAAGGTGTCTCGAGGGGGCACGATAGGGTAGCATGTGGCGGCAAGAAGAGGTATGTAGTCGGCGGCGGCGGGGACGTAGTGTAGTTGTTCGGGTCGCCTCGTCGGTTGGGCCTGAGTCGGTTGAGAGCGGCTGCGAACCTGCCGGCCAGGTCGTTGTGTTTGCTACCGTACCGGGAGCTCAGAAGCGGAAAGGCGGTGCGCCAGAAGAAAGATAAGCAGCAGGTAGGCTGCGTACCGTAGCCTTTCGCGCCTTGCTTGCTTGCTTCAGCCTGCCCGGCGGTGTGTGTTTGGGTGTTGGACGTCGGCCTCGCCGAAGGGGGCCGAGACTGAGCGGAAGGCCCGGCAAGTCTGCGAACAGGCTAAGGTGAGGCAAGCAGGGGGGGCTCGAGGGCGGCAACGGCGTATCCTAGCCTACCTGCTGGCAGGCTGGCGATGAAATCACGTCGGCCCTCCCGAAAGTTTGCAAGGGTGGGGGTTGTGAAAGGGCAGGCCGGGACGGGCAGGAAAATGGCCAGCCAAATCTAGCACGCCAAAAGGCAACGGCGTGGCAAGCCAGCGAGCACGAAGGCAGGGCTAGACTGGCCAGGCGTGGCGTGGAAGCTCGCCCAGACAGGAACTGGACCTGACGGCGCTTGTCTCTCTTGAACGTGAAATCGCTTCGCCTGCACGCACGTTGCGGGCGGGCATGCAACTCTGCAGGCGGCAAGATGGAAGCCAAGCTAAGAGAGAGAGAGATAGAGTAGGCCGCCCGCGTCGACAACGTTGCGCTCCTTGGGCACCGCCCCGACCTGTTGCCCTCAGCCACGCCTGGCTCCTCCCACGCTGCTGCATGCCTGCCGGACGGGGTCGGGACCACCGACCTTGCTCGCTGCTCCAGCCGGCTGCGGCTGTCAGACGCTCGACAGGTCGGCCAGCGCGCCGGCTCATCCGCTGCACCCGTCCCGCGCTTGCTGAGCCGGATCCCGCCTGTTTTCGCCGCTTGCCGTCCGGCCGACCAGCGGTACGGTATTGGCCGTACGTGATGGGAGGCCCTACGCATGCTCGCCCTGCCCCCCCTTGTGAAGGCCGGTGTTGTTCGGACGACGACGATTGTCGTGTTTCAGGAAGCACGCTGATGGTCCCGCACGCAGGGTATGTCCAAAGCCTAAATGGCTTAGCCTCGGGAAGAAGAGCCTTGCGTCGTTGTCTTTCAGCTCCGCCCAGTCTACCGCTGCCTACCGAAATGAGCTCACAGCACCATCGCTGCGGCAAGCCACCGTCCGTTCCTTCGCCCAAGCAAGCGAGAGGTACGGTGGACGGAGGCGGCACAGCGCGGCGCCGCTTGCTGGCTTGGCTCGAAACGGCCAGCGACCATACACGCACGAGCTCGACAGGGGTGGCTCTTGCCAGCATGAAAGGAGGCTCGTGGGAGCGGCAAATGCGTCGCCCCTCCCTGGAGGTCCTTCGAGCGGCCAGTTCAGGCAACGTCGGGAAGGCCGAAATCTTCCCATGCAAGCCAGCGCGCAAGCAGGCCGGCAAGGGCATCAAGCAGCAAAGCAGGCAAGCAGGGCAGCGGACCGAGCCCCTGCCTTGCGACACTTCTCTACCACCTGCTGCTCCAGGCCAAAGCGGAGAAGCCGAGCGGTGAATCTTCAGCATTCCGACTGCCTTGGAAGAAAGCTGGGGCTCCAGCGGCGCACCTGGGGGGTGAAAGCGCTCTCCCGACCCGTCGTGTGCCCGAGTCCCTGAGTGTACTTTGTCACGGAAGATCACCAACCTGCTCCCTGCCGGGCGGAGTCGGAGGACATACAAGGTACAGTACGCACGCTGTCTGGCCCTCAGGTGATCACGAAAGCCAGGGACGGTTCATGATGGTGTGCACGAAGCCCCTCTGTCCGCAGCACATGCTGTAACGCAGCCTGCCTGTTCCTCGCTCAGCGCATTGCTCGCTCGATCGAGCGAGCCGCTTGTACATAGGCGGACCGGCCTCGTCCTGCTCATCGACCATCAGAAGCAACCAGGAACCGGAAGGAAGAAGCCAAGGATCCATCAGGGGCAGCATGGCCCTTCTCGCAGCGGCAGGGATACACGACGGGCGCTACAGAAGGGCTAGGCTTGGTTAGCTTGTCGTTGTGTGCCCTGAGTTTGGCACGAGCTCTAAATCGGGGGTCCGGCCGGCGAATGTTCGAACGGAGGTCCCACGCACGTTTGCAGCGATTGACCGCAGGCGAGCGAGCGAGCGAGCGATGGGGTGCCAGGCCTGATCAAGAGAATCGATCAGGCAGGCAGGTCGATATAACGGCCTATCGGTATCCGACACACGCATGTCGGGCTTGGCGAGCTGCCGTGCCCGCCCGCGATGGTCGCGTTCGTTTGATGCCGCCGTGGACGATGCGCGGTTGCCGTGCCACGACCATCGACGTCAGACACTTCTACGTCGCTCCCCCGTCTTCGTTGCTCCTCGTCCACCGACATGGCATCACAGCGGGCGTCCTCGCACTACCATCCCGCCCTGTCTTCGCTAGCGTCGGTCGCCATGCGGAAAAGCACACGGAATTACGACGATATTCCCGAAGGGACCAAGCATCCGTCCACGGACCCTTCGATCGTCAGAAGAAACAGACCGACAGGGATTCCAGGGTCCCCCCCCAGCTTCGTTCTCTTCGTGCGTGCTGCTCACTCTGTGCCTCCGTTGGACCAAGATCCGACGGCGAGGTCGTCGTGGCCGTCGCGCTCGAGGTGGAACGTGGCCAAGGCCGCACATGAACAGAGCTCAGCCCAGCTGCAGTAGGAAGAGGCTGCTCGAGACCGACGAAGTCGCAACCGCGCCTCGTTGACGGAAGCGGCGCGGCGTCGAGCGCATCGAGAGTCGCCAAGCTCGTGTGGCATGATACGGGCGCCACGGCGGCGATTGTCGAGCAGCTCTTTGGGGATAGATTCGGGGTCAGTTGCCAAGTGGCAGCAACATGCTCGTTCGATGTCGACATTACCGCTTCGGCTGCTTGCCCGCCATCTTCAAGTCAGTCAGAGCATCGTCGAGCGACGGCGTGGACCGTAGAAGGTCCTCCATCGACGTCGACGAGCCGCGATAACGACACAGATGAGTCGTTAGGTGAGGAGGAAGGTACCGTCAGGGGCAGCATGTCCCTTCTCGCAGCGACCGGGACCAAGACGGCCGCTCGGCTCAGTGAGCTCTTCGTTGCGGTCAAACGCAATCAATCCTTGTTGTTGGCCTATCTTTCCCCCCGACCTCGAGCGTCAGAGAGAGACATGTCCACGCTTCATCAGCCGCTGCTCGTCGCCGCGCAGACCGATCAAGACATTTTTACATTCTTTATCGGTATCGGTAGCGGACAGCGACATGGGAGGGGACGACAGAGACTGGAACGGATCGATCATGGTGTTCGTGTTGCTGAGGCCGAGGGTATGTGATGAGCTTGTCGTGGGCCGGTGGTATCGCGGTCTGGCTGAGTGTGGCCTTGTTATGCTATTTGCCGTTGGATGATCTGAGGTGCTGCTGCTCTTGCGGTGCGAGCCCACGAAGCCAGGAAGGGAGACGAAGGGGGCGAAGAAGGCGAGGGAACGGGAAGGAGGGGGCACGAGGCGAGGGGATGCCTCCTACATCGACAGAGTAGCGTCCACGGAGAGGGACGAGGGATAGAGACGGGATGGTCGGCTGGATTGGGGGAGAGGCTCGCCGAGTCGGGCCGTCAGAGAGTGCAAGGGGTGCGCGACATCGTGGAACGGCAGTCTCGCATGGCGGCTCGATGCCTGTCATCCTTCGGGACCCGCCTAGGCCTAGTGGTTCGCCGTGCTCGTCGTCGCGGTGACCGGCTTGACCTTTCGCGTGTAGAGACTCTTCTGGTAGTCGCAGATCGTTTTGCACTCCGTCTCCCAATTCAGTTCCTCCTTTACCTCGTTGCGGTCCGCGCCAATTAGTGTGCAGATGAGGTCGACGAGGCCTTCTTGCATCTTCTTCAGCAGTGCGCCGAACGCATTTTCCAGCCCGATAGCGTGAAGCTTGTGGGCCACGGACCCTCGAGCCGAACCCTCGTCGTAGGTGTAGCGCAGCCCCTGGGCTTCGGTCTCGAACGCAGGTTGGAGCTCCACAAACAGAGAGAGGTACTCGAATTGCGCCGGTGGCGCACACGCCTTCCCTCGAGGCGCCGATGCGAATGGGCGGGCGGCTGAGCGCGAGGAAGAAGCGGCGGCGGTCTCACCTCGCCGGGTGCTTCCGGCTCTCGCCGGCACGCGAGGATGAGCGAGCATGACTGGCGGGACGATCTCGGTCTTGCCACGCGGCACCGAGGCCAGTCGGTTCTTGACCTGGATGACGACGTAGGAAAACTTGCTGACGTCGATCAGTGTCTGTTCGCCGTTCCAGTCTGGATCCACGTAGACGGGGATCAACATATCCCAGCTTGCCTGCATTGGAACCCCACAGAGAGCGACGTGGCTGACGAACCATGATGCCACCTCCTCCTTGGTCACGGCCGCGATGCTCTCTGGCAGCGGCGCAAAGTGCGTGAAGTTGATGCGCGCCGACCTCGCAAAGGCTTCGAGGCGATCCTTGGGCTCTATACCCGACCCGGCAGAAGTGCCTGGGGAGCGGCGGCGTTTTACGTCTGGTTTGGTAGTAGCGGCCGCCATGTTGGTCGCACCGAACAGCTCGCCGAGCCAGTCCCACAAAGAGATGGGCTCGAGCGTCGCGCCCCTCTCCCAGTGGTCCATCACCTCTCTGTCTGTTGATCCCTGGCCTTCGCTGGCAGCATCGACAAGGCTCTGGTAGGCGGCCAGGTCGGTGGCCATCATCAGCAGAAGACGCATGACTTCCTCGCCATCCTCGCCTGCCGTGAGGCCATAGAACTTTCTCGCGAAGCGGATTGCGAAGATGGCCTCTTCCCACCGCTTCGAGGTCGTGTCCGATTGATTCTTGCGGGGCTTCCGGAAAAGATCGGCCGCAGCTATGCTCAGCAGAGGCTCCGACGGGGTGCCGGTACTGATGAAGTTCGTGGTGGTATTGACGTCGGAGATGGTGCGCAAGTGCGAGCTCACCTGGCGCTGCAGGAACTGGTCGAGGTCCACTGTGCCTTGAAGGCCGATGAAGCGGAGGGGAAGCCGTGAGCACAGGGCAGCCAGATACCTGTCGAGAGCAACCTGGTAGACTTCGGCAGGATCTTGGAGCTTTGCGGATGTCTCGGGCTCAGCAATGACGGAAGGAAGCTTGAGCGCCGGCTCCTTGTCGGTGAGCAGCTTGGCTTGGACCTTGAAGAGCGAGACTTCGCCAACGAACGGCCGCAGAGCCTCGTAGCCAGATTCTTCGTCGGTGACGTACTTCAGGTGCTGGTTGTTCAGGAGCGGCCGGCCCATCCGCGGCAGCTGCTTGAGAAGGGTGCCCCATGTCTTGCCGTCTGGATTCTGCTCCTCGCGACTGAGTGCGTTGTAGGCGACGTCGTAGGGGAGCTTTGTGAAAACCGGAAGCAGCTTCAACTCCTTGTTCTCCAAGCGGTCGGACTTCACCAGCGCCTCTTGACCGGCGAGGTGGCTGACGTTCGAGTTGGTGTCGAGCAGGAGCATGACCAGTCTGTTGGCCTCGCCGACTATCTTTTCGCCCATTGCCTGCCAGAGTCGTCGAATGTCCCCCAGCAGGTATCCGAGGCCGGTCGCCTCATCGAGAGCTAGGACGAAGGCGCCGTCTTTGTGCATCTGCCCTGACTCGACGGCTCGGCTGACAGACGCCTGCAGCGATAGAAAAGCCTGGGCGCAGGCGGTGTTCTCGAAGTGCTTGAGCTCGTCCGATGTGCTGCGAGCGAAGCTGTCGCAGGTCTCCTTGCATTGAGCGGCAATGGTCTCAAGCAGCTCTTGTCGTCGGCAGCGTCCAGCCGGCCTTGTGCGCCCCGCGTCGACGCTGGGACTCGAGACCAGCTCTGCGTGCAAGTGTTCATAGAAGCGCCCGGCAAGCGAGGGGCCGGCCGCCGTCGCTGTAAAGCTTTCACAAAGGAAGCTGATCTCCTTGGCAAGGCAGCGTGCCAGAGCCTCGAAGCACGCAAGAACACAGAGGCGATCGCGCAGTCTGCTGTCGGTGGGGTGGCCGTTTGGGATATGTTCAGGTCGACAGAGTATGTCGGCTAGCACTGCGTCTCGCGGCGGAACGGCAGTCTGGCTTTCCTTTCGGAAGCAGAGCTGAACGCCGAGATGCGTCTTTTTGAGTGTTTGGTCGACTGTGCGTGATTTCCCGGAGCCCGAAGACTGCACGATGGGTACGATGCGCCCGTAGTGCTTCTGTGGATTGTAGATTCTGAGGATTGTTTTGATGTGATGGCACAGGAGCAAGTCTCCGTGGCCGAGGAAATCTGCCCGATAGTCGTCCTCGACGCGGTGATTTGGCGGGACCCAGCGTCTGGGAGATGGCACGGCTGTGAGCACACAACGAGAGCGAACGGCACGGCTGTGAGCACACAACGAGAGCGAACGGAGTCCATCAGTCGCTGGTGAAGTCTAGAGCTCTCGGGACAGAGAGGCGCGCGGTGTGGGACTCACGGAGCATGCCGTCGGTCATCAGCCGAAAGAGGAGAGCGACTGTCGCGGGGACAGTGTCGGCGAACCCTGCTTGCAGCTCGGGCTTGACGATCTGGAAGAGCCCCTCGGCGTCCCGGTGGGAGCGTTGCATGCCGTTGGCTTCGAGCAGCCTTCTAGTCCAGGCGGGCGGCTGTCCAGGCCGCTGCGGATCAAGGCAGGCTCGTGCGCACGCCGCAAAGGCATCGTGGATGATTGACTTGGATGGAGTAAGGTCCAATCCGTGGTGTGACAGCAGTTGGTGGCAACCAGCAAGAAAGACGCGAAGCTGTTCGACTTCTGACTTGATGGAGACCCTCGCAAAATGCTCGAGCTCCTTGAGCTTCTGCTGATCGTCGAGATCCCCCGGGCTCTCTGAGCTTGCGGCCAGTCCCAGGCAGGCCGGCCAGAGCGTCTGTGATATCAGACTGCTCCGAGGACGAGTCTGAGCTGCCACGCGCAGACATGGTGCAGGCTGTATCACTGACCAGGTGACGAGGGCGATGGTGGAGGAGGGAGTGAACTTCGACCGAGATGGTATTTGTGGTTTGAGTCTGAGATTGGAGCCCATATGCATGCTCGCGTTGCCAGCGGCAGGAGAGCGAGAGGCACCTTGCATGGGCCGTGCGAGCGCACTCTATCGGGCGTGCAAGATCCAGCGGATGAGGCAGCGCTTTTCGGCCCCCTCGTGGCAGACGTGAGGAGCCCGATCCGCTCTCGGTCGCCAGACTCTTTCCGAAGCTTACTTCAACTATGTAGGTGCAATGAATGGTTTCAGCGCTCCTCCAGAGCGGGAAACAGCACACTTGCGGACATAGGAGTACGTCTGCAGAACCCACAGAGCGTGGCAGAGTAGCCTCGCGCCGTTGCACTGTACCCTGACCTACTGGCCAGGCTACGGGCAACAAGAAGAACAGATACTGCAAGGAGCCTAACTTAGGCGCCTCCTGGACCGCTTCGATGAGCGTGCCGCCGCTCTAGGCGGGCGCGGTCGGCGCTCGAACACCTGGCGTCCCGACGCTCTCAGGACGGCATGGCTTCCTCGCCATCTTCGCAGGACGATGCGGGCGTAGCTGGGCGTAGAACCGATTGTCATTGCAGGCCGTCGCAGCCCGGACAACAACCGCTCAGGCGCGTTGCCACCTCGATTCGAGCTCCATGATGCTCACTTCGTCTCCTGCCTAGCGTGGGTTGTCCCAGCAGCACGGCACGGAAGGAAGAGGTGGGCGGGTAGGGTCAGCGAGGCGGTCCCGGCCGCCACGGATGCCCGCAGCGAGTACACACCTTTTCGTCGTAGTCCATCCATTCCTTTCCGTCGTCGAATTCGACGGCGTCAAAAACGGTACCGGACGAGAGGCCCTTGCACGTCCATGTTCCCTGCAGAGGCGCACAATGTCGTCAAAACGGACATCATCAGCTTATGCGGCGAGCGGCGAGCGGCGAGCGATGCGTCGGAACATGGCGGGACGTCACGCACCTGAGGGACAAACTCGACGGGCTCCAGGCCGCGGAACTCGAGCACGCACAGCGTCTGAAACTCGGCGCCCGAGTCCTCGTTGGCCTCGATGGGACGGTACAGCGGCGCCTTGGAAGTCGGCTCGTCGAACTCTGCAACGGCGGTCATTGAGAGGAGACAGGGGCAGAGTCAGCTGGTCGTCCAGTCGCATCGCACAGGCATCGCGTCCGGTACGTACTGGCTGACGCCTCCTTCTTGCAGAACTGGCGAGCGGCACACGGTTGAGAGGGGCAATCAGCAACAAGGTCGATCGCCAGGTGCGCAGCGCGGTACTCACGTTGCACTTCATCACCAGGTTGGCGGTGTCCCTTCCCTTCTGGAGCTCCTTTTCGTCCGACGGCGTGATTCCGATGAGCTTGGGGTGCACCTCGTGGCACGAGGTGCACTTGGTCTTGACCATCAGCGTGTAGTCGCCATCGCCGGGGAGGAGCGAGGTGACGTTGGTGAACTGCGCCTGCAGCTGAAGCGCGAATTTCTGCGGTACCAGAGCCGGAGGAGGATGATGAGCGATGATGAGGGTGTATCAGCGCAGGATACGGGCGACGATGCGTCGGGTCGGGCGGAGGGAGAACGTACCGGCATCGTTGCAAGGTGAGGCGGTGGTGAGGGGGCGACAAGAAGCAAGCCAGCAGAGCACACAGCGCCGCGACGATGATCTGCGCTCGCTGCAGCGGCAGCGAGGGCGCGAAAAAAGTGGAGGTGCACATTTGTCGCACGACACGCGACAGCAGAGCGGGACGAGGGACTGCATTCAGCTGGATTGCGAAGTGAGAAGAGAGAGCGAAGGGCATGACATGCTGGGCTGGAAGCCCCGGAACCGGGAACAGTGGTGAGACGTGGGAGAGCCCAAAGGTGGTGGAGATGCGACATGATACGTCGAGGGGTATAGGGGAGCTCTGCGTAGATCAGGCAGGGTTGGGTATGCTTTTCGGTGCTCAGGGAGCCGGTCGCTCAGCAGTCGGCGGTGTCGGTCAACGACGTGTGGCGCGGCGTCGGCGTGACGGCAGTCGATACCAGGGGCGGCAACGAGGCTCGCTGCGACAGCCAGGCGTCGCTTGCGCCTTCGCCTTCGCCGTCGCCGTCGCAGTCGCCATTGCCTTCGCCAGCCGGCTGGGCGAGGTGCTGGCCATCGGTCGCAAAGACGCCGCCCTGCCAGTCGGATGCAGCGAGGCAGAGCTTCCGCAGCGCGTCCGGCGACTGCGCCCGCCCCTCGAGGCCCGCCCACGCGCTGCTCGGGCTCATGGGCTGGTAGCTCGGCAGATCCAGCGCCGTATCGTGGGAGCGCGCCCGCACCTGATCGCTGCTGTCCCTCCTCCAGTTGTGCGGCGACGGGACGTCCAGAGACTCGGGAGAGCCGCTCCCCTTGGCGCTGTGGCCGCTCGACGCGGGCAGCTGACCGTACCGCGCCAGTGCTAGGTCGACGTGGCTGCCGTGCGCCATCGGCCACTCTGTCTCGTGCGGCACCGAAAACAGCGACGACATCGAAGTGCGCGCCGAGTAGCTCGAGCGGTGCTCAAAGCTCTCGGCGTCCGTGTTGAGGCTGGTGCTTCGGTCGCGCTCATCCTCGCCATAGCCGTTACCCCGTCCCTGTCCGTTGCGGACCGCGGACGCAGAGCTGCCCGCGCCAAAGAGGAAGCTACGCAGCCGGTCGCTTGCGCTCTGGCGCTCCGCATCGGCCAGGAAGTACTTGCATCCCTCGGCAGGTCCTGGATCCTCTCTCGCCGCAAAAATGGCCGTCGGCGCGATGAGGCTCTGCCTCAGAGGCGGCAGACCTGTGGCAGCCCTGCGGCGCATGGCTCCGGAACGCAGCGAGCCGCCCTGTCCGTCGTCCGGGACCGTGATGCCGAGCGGGCTGATGGAGAGCGGCGTCTCGCGCAGTCGGAGGTCGCGCGTCTCAAACTGGCCATCGACGCCGAGCAAAGCCGGCGAGACATCGGAACTCGACTCCGACAGCGACGGCGACGATGCCGGCTTGACGAGACCGTAGTCGCCGCTTCCGCCGATGTGGTCTCTGCCCGAGCTCGAAAGCGTCGGCAGATTGCCAAGCGCGCGGCCCCCGAAATCGAAGCGCTCCGCCTTGCCCGTGAGAGCACCTTCGTCGTCGCTCGACTCGAGATTGTTGCTGATCGGTGTGGTCGAGAGCGAATGATGGTTTGCGATGCCGATGCGGGAGCTGCCCACGTCCTTCAAGGCATCGTCTTCGCGAAAGTTGGGGATGCTCGAGGTGACCATGCGCGCAAACGAGGCCTGCCGCGGTGTGGCGCCGGGTAGCGATGTCGAGCGGTGCGTCAGGGGAAACGACTGCGCTAGCGCCAGCTGTCGCGGTCCGGATCTAGAAATGGGACGATCCAGCGTGGGCAGCCCATGCACGGCGAAGGAAGGCTGCTGACCGGAGCCTGGCCGCGGTGACGCGCCTAGCCGCTCCGGGAGTGGTACCTCGGCGACGACAAAAGCGACTCGCGCAGCGATCGGGAGACCGGTCCTGACAGCCAAGGGCGGCAGAGGAAGCCTCTCGAGGCTCGTGTCGGTATGCACCGGCCTTGCACTAGGGGACGCCGCGCCTGACACTCCGCCCGCGTCAGGGGTCGCCGGCTCCGAGAAGCTGCGAGCAGTGGTGGCAGCGAGGCTCTCGCGTCGTTGCTGACCGTTGACAAGATCAAAGACCTCGCCGTGGTGCCGCCAGGTGCCGCCGCCGCACTTGCCACTCTCCCGCCTCGCATACGGGTCGTGAGTGCCGCGTCGAGGCGCCGGAAAGAAGCGTGCAAAGGCCAGCTTCCAGGATGCTTCCGTCATGCCGACGCGGAGCGGGGTCGCGACCCTATCACCCTCGATCCTGGTGTGCGAAGATTGCAGAGAGAGTGGCCGCCCAGATATCAGCGGTCGGGAAGCCAGTTTGCCAGGTTGGTGCCGGCATGCCACGACTCACTCGAGGTACAGCTGGATGGCGCCAGCATCCAGGTACGACAGTCCAATCTGCCGGGCCAGCTGGCGAGTCTGGCCCTGGAGCGTTGGCTGGAGGACCACGAGCCGGTCCTCTGGCTGTCCCTCGCTCTGGCCTCCTCCAGCGTTCATCGCCGATCCTCGGGCTTGGTAGCGGCCACTCGCGAGAAGCAGCCAGCTGCCTTCTCCCGAGCCGGCGAGGTGCGACCCTGGTCCGTCGGATGGCTCCTGTAACGCGGTCTGATGGGCGAAGACGTCGGCCTTGACAAAGGGGGTGAAGCCGTCCGGACGGTGCGGGTATTCGGCCAGCGCCGAGGCTGGACGATCCATGGCGGAAGCGCGGTAGGGCAGTCGCAGGCCCTCGGGGCGGTTGCGCGGCGACGTCGGCCGCGCTGTCAGCGGCTCGTACGACATGGGTACTTGTGTGCGCCGTTGCGCGCCGGCGTGACTGCCGTAGGCACTTGCTCGAGCAAACGACGAGGAGACTCCTGCTTAGTTGTCCTGGTCCCGTCGAGCTGCCGCGGCCTCCGCTGAGGTTGAAGAAGCTTGCAACTTGGATGTCGATCGTCTCTGCCTTGCTGTCGAGGATGCGAGTGGTGTAAGGACCGTGGCTGGTGACCTCCAGAGGTCCGTGGGCCAGGGAAAGCGAGTCTCTGGTCAAGACTTCCGGCGGCTAGAAGGGCCTGCGCTGGCGTTTGGTGCCGTGGTACTTATTGCGAGGAAGGCGAGACGACTTTCCGGCTCTGAGTTGTTCAGAAGCAGGAGGAGCGTGACCCTCCGCCGAAAGCGCCTTCGAGGTGAGTCTGTTCGGCCCACAGGTAGGTAGGGGTTCGCGTGGTCCCGTGTCATCCCGCCGTGCGCCGCAGCGTATGCGTTGCCGGGGGGAAGCGTCGATGGTTGCGGGTTTCGAGGCCGGTGTTGCATGGAAGGCGACGTGGGTTGAGCCCAACGCCGGCGACCGGTGCACCATTCTACATGTGGCCAGGGGGAGTGCGCATCCGTACATGTCCTGTCCGGTGCGTGGGCTGCGGCCATGGAGCACAAAGCCCGCTGCCAAAGGGTAACAGCGCCACCTCCTAGCATGACGAATGCCGCGATACGGTTCGGAAGTCGCATGTCCTGCCGATGGCAGGTACCAGAGCGCGCCTAGGCCCCGTTCAGAGGCTGAGAAGAGGTTGAGCTGGGAAGCCTTCAGAAGACCACACCGACGGGACAGTGCTACCTCGTTGCAGTCCCTTCGTGATGGTGCAGGGCGGTCAGAGAGCTTTAATCTAGGGAAATTGGCGACCGCGAAGACTAAGGAGCCGCCCGCATGTGATGACAGCCCGTCTCCGTCCTGCCTTCGACAGAGGACGCTAAGGGTTCTTAGGCGACGTGGTGTGGCGAAAGCCCTTGCGCAAGGGTGACCGCGGTAGCGGCCGGGCATGGTCAGTTGGCCACAATCGAAGACAACCTGACTGTGCGGCGTGGGCTCGTTGGGCCAGGCCTTGGCTTCGGGTTGGACAGTGGGACAGGCTAGGTCACGGCCGAAGGCGTCCGTTGCGAAGCGACCGACGGGATCTGCAGGGTTTGCCGTTGGGTCGCCACAACAACCACGCATCAACAAGCAAGGGGTTTGACCGCGAGTGCCACCGAGGGGGAGCAAGCCGCACAGCAGCTAACCTGAGATGCGGCCAGGCAAGGACGGACGTACGTACATACGTACATGCATATGTCCTTTTGGCCGCCGCGAAGGTGGGCTCATGTGGAGCTCACGGCACCGCGAGGGCGGAGACAGATCTCGAAGGCGGCGCCGACAATGGTCGCTGATCCCGAACCGCCGTCATTCACCTTGTCGGGCGGCGAGCTGGTGGCAATACGACGGCATGACCGGCCATCAGAGGGTAAAGAAGCAAGCTGCTTAGCTGCGTTGGGCGTGCAGAGGCTTGCGAACCCCGGACCAAGGGGAAGACAAGGAAGGCCTAGGAAAGGCGACGTCGATCCATGCCAGGGGTCGAGGCGAGGCGAGGCAGGGGTCGGGACCGGCCCACCGAATCCAGCGCACCGGTGCTGACCCGCAGCCATGCTGAAAGCCGGTCGCCTACGATGATCGACCGCCGCCGCCACCGTGGCGCCACGGGCGGTCGAGCCCATGGAGGATGAAGTGGTGGTGGTGACGAGGGCCAGGCGGAGGCCCGACCGGGTTCAAGAGGTGGCCAAAGGCAGAGCCCGATGGCGGTGACCCAGGAGGATCGGGTCTTGACCGCCCGCTCGCCGACTTCCGGTTGCGCGCGGACCACTCCTCCGCCAGCAGCACTCGACGGTCAGGACCCTACCTGGACGCTACCGCCCATGCCACCATCGCCACCCGCACCTGCCCCGCTGCCATCATATACCTGCCGGAGTCAGCGCGGTCGAGATCCTCCGCAGACGCACCCTCCGGCTCGACTCTCTGCCACAACAAGTACGGCCCCCCGACGGCTCCGGGCCGAGACACCGCGGTACACGCAGCGGCTGATCCGGACGCACGCTCGCGTTCGGCGACGGCGGCGGCGATAGTCGAAGGACCCTTTCGGTCCGCGCCGGTCGCGGCCTCACATCCTCCTTGTCTCGACTCTCGATCTGCTGCGAAGCTCTGGCATCACACTCCCAGGCTAGGCTGTTCCGAAGAGGCCAGCAGAGCAGGCTAGGGCAGCGTCTTCGGAACAGCCGCCGCACCGCTCCTCGGCGGGCATCCGCGCCCCGGTTCGCTTGATTCAGCACCGCCTCGAGGACGGACGTCGCCCACCATGGCACCGAGGCCACGCAGGCCGCTGGTATCGCTTGAGGCGCAGCTTCAGCAGCTCACCCTCTTTAGCGACCTCGACGCAGAGGGCGAGAACCTCGAGCAGCTCGGCCCCATCATCAAGAGCCTCGACGAGGCCAGGCAGCAGGACGCCTTCCTGCGCCACCTGAAGGCCTTTGTCCGGCAGAAGGACGACGAGATCGAGACCGTCTGCAACGCCAACCACCAGGTGAGTAGGCCGTCCGCAGCATTGCGGCAGCAGCAACGCCCCTGGTCGTCTCACCCAGTCCCCTTTGCTCCGCCTCGCACCCCGACTCCGAACAGGACTTTGTCTCTGCTGTAGACAAGCTCCTCCGTGTCCGCTCGGGCACCGTCAGCCTTAAGCACCGCATCGGAGAGCTCAACGAGGACGTGCAGGCTGGCGGCCAGTCACTCGGCAACAAGGTTAGTGTCGACATGCCGCCTGGACCGCCGCCCTCTGTCATCATGAGCACATACGCTGAACGGTGGGCGGTACACAACATCCTCTCCAACTGACCCCGGTCGACGCCGCAGAAAAAGCAACTTCTCGAGACCAGGCGCGTCGGCCAGAATGTCGACGAGGCCATCGAGACGATCCAGGCCTGCCTGCGCGTGCTCGACCTGGCCAACCGCATCGATAGCCTGATCCAGGCGAGAAAGTACTACTCTGCACTGAGGGTAAGCGCTGCCGCCTTACGATGCTTCGACGATCTGCTGGATGCTGGTGATGCTGACACCGTCGTTGGCCTCGATGATGCCCGCAGTCGCTCGAGGAGCTCGAGACGATCCACCTCAAGGCGGTCCTGCACCACGAGTTTGCCAAGCACATGATGGAGAGCATACCGCAGATGCGCGAGCAGGTGCGGCAGGCGGTGACGAGAGAGATGAAGGAGTGGCTTTACGAGGTCCGGGAAAAGAGCCGCACCGTCGGCCGGCTCGCCCTCGACGCCATGGAGGCGCGGCAGAAGCGCTGGAGGATCAAGAGCCAGCGAGACGCCATGCTCAGCCTGGCCAAGGTCAACTCGGCCATCGAGCTGGTGGTCAACGAGAGGGTCGAATGTGAGTGACCAGCGCGGACCGACGGGCCGTTGGTACCATGTTGACACAGCCCGGCCCTCGCGCCATCACCGACCTGCAGACAACTTCGTCGAAAACGAGCACGTCAAGATCGACTTCAAGCCGCTGTACCAGTGCATCCATATCTACGACATCATGGACATGCGCGAGCAGCTGCAGGCAAACTACCAGGAGGACCGCCGGGCGCAGGCCAACCTGCTGCTCTCGCAGGGCCTCTCGTTCCACCCGTCGAACCCGACGTTCCCGGCGCTGCTCGAAGAGGTGGTGGGCTTCTTCATCGTCGAGCACCACGTGCTGCAGACGTCGCCGCCGGGCTTCCGCGCCGACCAGGAGGTCGACGACCTGTGGGACAACATGTGCGAGCGCGTCGTCGACATTGTCAGCGTCGGCCTGCGCGACTGCAAGGACACCAAGGTCTACGTCAGCACCAAAGCGGCGGTGCAGACGTTCATCCAGACGCTCGAGGGCTACTCGTTCACCGTGGCCAAGCTCAACGCCCTGCTGCTGACGCTCTTCGAGCGGTATGCCCAGCTGCTGCGCGATCGCTTCTCGGCCGACTTCCAGCAGGCAATGCGCGAGACCGAGCACCAGCCCATGGTGGTCAACAACGCCGACGAGCTGACCAAGGTGCTCAACGTGTGCTGGCTCAAACCCGGCGACGCCGACAGCCTCCGCTCGCAGGGCTTCCCGCTCTCGCTCCCCTTCTCGCAGACCTACCCGCTCTGCTGCATGGACATCCGCAACCTGGTCGACCAGTACTACACCTTCTCGGACGGTTTCTCGCAGCACCACCGCGACATCGACGACATCCTCAAAAAGTCGCTCGACGAGCTCCTCATCCAGCAGGTCAGCAACGGCATCCGGTCGAGCCTTGAAAAGACGCCCAACCTGTCGCAGATTGCGCAGATTGTCGTCAACGCCGAGCATTTCAAGCTGGCCTGCACCGAGCTCGAGGGTTTGCTGGCGGCGCTGCGGGCGCCCCACCGCGGCGGCAAGCTGCGGCTCGACGCGTCGGTGCACTTTGCCACGACGCTGAGCCTGGCGCAGCAGCGCATCGACTCGGCGCTCGCATCCAAGCTGGACCAGTTCATCGGGCTGGCAGAGTACGACTGGACGCCCGCCCGCTCGCGCGAGCCGGGCCAGCATGCGGCCTACCTCCAGGACGTGCTCGACTGGCTCACGACGATGATGGACAGCGTCCTCATCCTCCTCCCGCGCGACGTCAAGATGAACGCCTACCGCGCGGCGTTCCGGTACATGGCCGACCAGCTGCTCAACGACCAGCTGCTCGGTCGCGACGAACCGATGTGCAACCTCAAGGGGCTCGTCAACCTCGACATCGACATTGTCTTTTTGCGCAGAAACGCGCAGGGGCTCGGCGAAGGCTTCGCAGAGGTCTTTGAAGAGGTTCGACAGGTGAGTCCGCCGGGCCGTGTTGACCACCCGTGCTGGCGGCGGGACTGACGAGGGCGAACGCGTATCCCTTCCACCTCTCCAGACTCTCGGCGTCCTGCTGACCGACTCCGTCAACGAGTACGCGCACAACACGACGATGCGACAGACAAAGTGAGTTGCCGCCCCAAGCTTTCGTCCTCTCTCCTCGGGCGCGACGACATGCTGATGCCGCCTAACCTCGTCCTCCCGCCTGCTCGCGCGCTCCATTGCTAGATACTCGAAAGCGCAGCCGCTCAAAGTGGCTGGCATTCTCGAGAGGATAGCGCGCTACCATTCTTCCAGGGGACCGGCAGAGGCCGAACTCGCGGCCAGGCGGAGCAGGGAGAGGGACGCAGTAGCGAGGCTCATCCGTCGCTGAGGCGATTCTGCATCGTCGTATAGTCGCAGTCAAGGCTCGATGGGCGCATGGCGGGGATGGCATCGGCATGGTGCCGTTGCTATCCGCTGCTATCGAGACATTCAACCACTGTCCGGGCACAGGGCCCCTCCGCACTTCCACCGGGACTCGATCCGACGTGAGGCGTGGATGGATCGCGAAACGTTTGAAATTCGTGAGACACGCCGGCGAGAGCATCTCGGATGCGAGGGCGACGTGGGCGGCTCGAGGGACCTGCCTCTTCTGCTATTGACTATCGTCGCGCGGCCGAGCCCAATCCGCCACAGAGACCGGCACGTGGCGTGGATGCCGAGGAAACCTCGTACCCGAGGGTGCGGCGCTAGAAAACATCGTACCTGACCTGCAGGAGTACCGTGAGCCTTGCTGTGCACGAGCAAGGGAGGAAGGGGGATAATGTGGAAGACGAAGCGGGGCGTCAAAGGGGGAGGAAAAGGAAGAGAAGGAACGCAGACGGGGTTGAGGACACCTTGAAGAATGGTCAGCCGACGGCCATGCTCTTGAAGCGGCTTGAATCTTGTCAGGCGAGCGAGGCGGGCTTGCGTGCGATCACGGCGGTCTGATGGCGGCAGCTTGGTGCGAGGGCGACGAGTCGGAGCAGGTGCCGGCCGACTAACCCAGGATGGTCCACTGCATCCCGTTGAGGACGCCCTGGTCCGGGTCGGCAAAGTGCTCGAACAGGGTCTTGGTCATGTCGAGGCTGGTCGTCGGGCACGTCGGGCACTCGTCCTCTATCGTGGCAAAGGCCGACTTGCCCTTGTACGTGATCTTGATTCTGAGGCCGCACAGGTGGTTGTGGTTCGGGTTGCCGTCGCTCGGGTTGAAGCGCTCGAAGACGTCCTTGGACACGGCGACAATCATGTCCTGATCGCTGTTGGTCTTGCCGCAGGCACCGAGGCCCGCGCTGTAGAAGGTGCCGCGTCCCGTCATGGTCTGTCCGACCAGAGGCCTGACGTCGCTCGGGATGTTGGGGTTGTCAGAGTGAGCACCGGCATCTCCGCCATCGCCACTGCTAGCACCGGAGCCACCCGATCCAGATCCCTGCGTGCCAGAGCCACCCGACGATCCAGAGCCATTTCCCTTGCCACTAGTGCTCGACGACGACGACGAGACGGTCTCGTGGTGCGACGAGCTGGACCATGACGAGGCAGACTCGCTGTCCGAGCTCCAAGTGGTCGTGCTGCGCACCCCGTTGCTGCCATCATCTCCGGAGCCATCATGGTTGCTGCCGTTGCCGTTCTTGCCGTTGCCATCGTTGCCGGTGCCGCCCTGTGCATCCTTGCCCTGCGAAGATCCACCTGCAGGCTTGCCCTGGTGATCCTTGTGCTTGTGGGCGGCCGCTTGAGCAGTGCGGGCCCGGGTGGCCTCTGCCACCTTCTTCTCGCGATGGTGGCGGTGTTTGGGCCTGTTCCTCTTGTCGATGGGCTCCTTGCCTCCGGTCAGGTCGGGCTCGCTCTGGGCGGCGGGAGCAGTCTGTCCGGCATCCTTGGCATCCTCACAGTCCTCCTTGGAGGCAGCATCGCCACCGTCAGTGGTCGAGGTCGTGCCCGCAGCCGTCGCTTTGTCCGTCAGGCCGCTGCCGCCAACTTTGTTGCCGCCCTGCGAAGTCGGATTCTGAGCAGCAAGCCAAGGACCGCCGGTGCCGACCAGCGACTCGACGTAGTGCTGGTAATCGTTGAGCTTCTGCTGGTCGTTGATGCTGTTCGACTGCGTGTCAATCTGTGCCTGCAGCTGCTTCTGCATCTCCGCCAGCTGCTGCTGAGGGTCCGCGTCGCCGTCGCGACGCTGGCGCTGCAACGCTCGCTTGTGGAGGAGGGCCGAGTGCTTGGTCGAAAGAGGAGATCCGCCGCGACGAGCCAGGCGTCCGTGACCGATGCCGGAGCTGGCCGCCACCAGACTGGAACTGGACAGTGCAAGGCCAAGCAGGCCAACGAGAAGTAGCTTCATCCTGGCGATCGCTGGACCTGGGCGAAGTGAGAAGGGCTTGGGAGATCGGAAGGTGTGTGCTGGCTGGTTTGACGAGCAGACAATGGCCGTTTAGATAGGCTGGATGGCGCGCAGAGACAACGATGCGGACCAAGTCTCGGGACTCGACTCACCGGTGAAAACGAGGGGCTTCCTCCTGGTCCTCGTGGGTGTGGCGGTGGAGAGAAGGGCGTGGGGGAGATAGTTCGAAGGGAGGGTATACAGTGAAGGATGAGGAGTGGCTGTATACGAGGGGCGGAGGCGGAGGAAGGGGGTTGTGATGGTGAGAGGGAAGGGTGAAGATGAGGAAGAGGATAACGGAGGGAGGGAAAGGTGAGAACTAGGGCAAAAGAAGGAGGCTAAGAGGTAGAAGCGTTGGCATGGCGTCACGAGCGCGAGGAGATGGGCCGAGCAGCGCAAGAGTGCAGTACGTGCTTGCGACTCTTCCCCCACCGCCCCTTGATGCCAGCGTAAGCCGGGCGGTGCTGGGTGACTGCGGCGAGGGGCGTTGCAGCAAATCAGACGTGGGGGGTCCGGAGGGGCGCCGACGGAACGCCCCACCTTGCCGACAGTTGAGCGCCTCAATAGCCAACGACTGCAGAGCTAGAGTAGTGGTTGGCGGGGCCGAAAGGAGAGGTGGGAGCCGTCCCCAAATTCCCTTTATTTCATGACGACCGACGTTCGTGCCTGCTTGGTGTGATGACGGGCTCGGCAGCGGCGTCACGCCCCGGTATCGATTGATTGAGCCTATCGGCGCTGTCGGGGTCGGTCCCTCGATTCAGCCCAGCATCGAGACCGCGACGAACGTGCTCGCCAGCGCGCTAGAGGCCTAGCCCGTCAGGCGGCAGGTCGGCCGACGTCGCTGCGCGTTGCGTTGTCCTGTGCATCTGCCGCGTTCGGTCACGCCAGACTCATGAGCTGCCCGGTCCTGTCCTGAATGGTGCGCGAGCATACAAAGGGGACGCAAAGAAGCGGTCAACCGGGCACGCCCGGCAGGCCAGGACCAGACGTTGCCATGGGGGGCGCGCAAGGTGGGGTCGCCGAAGAGGCGCGGCCGGCCCGTCCGTCCACCTGCGGTCGAAATGTGGTACTACTGAATGCTTGACAGCGTATGACGGTCATCTCGGGTTCAGATTGGCGGCTACAGTCTGTATCTGCCCAAGGCTCCGGGGAGGGTCATTTTCAAGCGGATGGCTCCAGTCGAGGTCGTGGTCTCGGTCAGGTACGGGCCAATGCCTTGGTCAACGGCATGGATCTGGGGCCCGGGACTGACGGCTCCACAGGAGGGCTGAATTCGTCGTGCTCGAAGGGCGTCGGGCTCCTTAGCGTCTGTACGAGGCACGACGCCTGTAAGTGGTCGCGGCATGCCAAGCGTCCCTCCGTAGAGTGAAATCGCAAAGGCGAATGGATGGGCCCTCACTCTAGGCGCCAACGCTGCTCTAGGTGGCGCGCGGTGCGACGCTAGGGGTGCTGATGATCGAGCCGGCACTGAAAAGACGGCGCTGGAAGAGGAAGAGGGGGAGGCTGAGGGGATAGACGTCGTTAGCGGATGGCTCGAAATGCGCGTCCTGCGGACCGCCAGGACATGGCCGCCGCCGAGGCTCGGTGACCTACGCGGAACCGAGTCGTGGCCGAATCTGTAGACTCGCCGACAGTGCCACAAGCCTGGGCTGTAAATGGGAACGTATGTGATAGCAGAGGGTAGCATGCATGGGTGGTTTGGGGACGGGATCGGGTGATCTTGACAACAAGAAGAGGGACGAGTGTACTGCCGTCGATAAAATCAAGAAGAGAGTCGCTGCCATCGAGACGGAGGGCAAGCTCACGGTCGCCTGCGCGGGCGCGGCTTGATGGGCCTTCCGCCGGGACCCTGGCTGGCTGAAGCGGCGCCAATATTGAACAGCCCGCCAGCGGATCCCGGCGGCGTCGCCGTGGCGCCCTGCTGCTGCTGTTGCTGCTGCGGCGCTCCAAACGACGGCGGACCAGGGCTGGGTGCGGCATTAAACGCAAAGGGACCGCCGGCTCCGGGCGTCGGCGGCTGCGACTGCGGAGCACCGAACGTGAAGGGGGCCGGTGCGGGCGTCGCGGCGCCACCCGGCTGGCCGCCAAAGGTGAAGGCGCCTCCACCTCCGCCGCCACCGCCGCCAGGCTGCTGCTGCTGCGATGGCGTGTTCATGTTGGACCCGAACGAAAAGCTCGGAGCTGGCGAGGCGGCATTGGTGCTGCCAAATGTGAACGCCGTGGACGGTGGCTGCACCTGCTGCGGCTGCTGCGGCTGCTGCGGCTGCGAGGCTCCGAAAATGAAGGGGGCTGGTGACGAGGGCGCCGAGCCAAACGGCGTCGGTGCAGCAGACGCGCTGCCAAAGACGTTAACAGACGGAGCGGCTGCGCTCGTCGGTGGGGCTGCAGTGAAGGTGAATCCCGGCGAGGGAGCCGCCGAGGCGGGCACGGCAGAGGGCGCGGGCGCCGACGAGCCGAACATGCCCGTCGTGCCGGCAGCGAGTGGTGCCGCACCAAAGGTAGGGGTCGAAGGCGTCGTCAGAGGCGCCGACGGCACAGCAGCTGAAGCTCCGAAGCTGAATGACGGCGGCTTCGACGTCGCCAGGTTCGGGCTGGTTACGCTGGACCCACCAGCAGCCGAGATGCCAAAGGGGGATGCGCTCCCGTTGGCTGCGCCTGTCGCGGCGGGGCTTGGTGCGCCAAACGTGAACCGGTTCGATTGGGTGGCTGGCGCAGCAGAGGTCGCGGCGGCCGCACCAGTCGTGGGCGAGTCCTCCATCATCTCGCTGTTTCCGAACTGCGCCTGGGCTGGTGTACCGAACCCGCCCCCAAAGGTCGATGCGGCAGGCGTGGACGGCTTGGGAGTGGTGGCCGCGGTCGACGTTGGTGCCGACGCGCCGAAGGTGAAACCGCCCGGCGTTGAGGGTGCGGCCGGCGCGGTACTGGCCGCGGGCGTGCTCGTAGCAGGCGCGCCAAAGGTGAACGCAGGCTTGGGCGTCTCGGTGGTCGGCGACGAAGCCGGCTTGCCATCGCTTGCCGCCGCAGCGGCGCTGCCAAAGCCGAAGGCTGGCGTGCTCGGCGACGACGCGGCAGGCGAGAACGAGAAGGACGATCCTGCCTTGGCTTCGCTGGGCTTGGTGGGTTCCGCAGGGGTCGCCGAGGTGTCCGTGGAGCCGAAAAAGAAGGACTTCTTGGCCGGCTCTTCGGCCTTCTTGTCCTCGGCCGGAGCCGGAGCGGGAGACGCTGCGGGCTTGCCAAAGCCAGCCGCACCGCCGAACGAGAAGCCGGGCGTGGGCGCCGTCTTTGCAGAAGGCTTGGCGTCGCCTTGTCCCCCCTGCTCACCTTCGGCAGCTCGCTTTTCGGGAGCCGAGGCTGCGGGTGCGCCAAACGAGAAAGGGCCGGCAGCCGGCGAAGACGAGGGCTGAGACTGGCCAAATGCGAATGTCGACGCGGCGGGAGGGGGCTTGCTCTCCTCAGTCTTGGTCGCGGGCGCCGCTCCGAACGAGAAGGCCGTGGTCGCAGGCTTGTCGGCCGTCGCGTCCTTCTTGCCGTCATCAGTCGGAGCCGGTGCAGGCTGACCGAAGCCCGAAAAGGTGGGCGTACTTGCTGGCTTGCCGAAGCTGAAGCCGGACGACGCACTCTTTGCCGGCTCAGCCGCTGCGGGCTTGGCTTCGACCTTTGCCAGGGCATTGCCGAAGAAGTTGGGCACGGGCCCGGACTTTTTGGACTCGTCTGTCTTTTCGGCCGGCTGGGCAGGTGCGACCGGGGTCGAGAAGAAGTCGGGTGCGGCAGGGGCAGGCTTGCTGGCAGCTGCGGCAGCAGTGGCCTTGGCCTCGTCGGGCTTGGGCGGCTGGAAGGAGAACGCAGGCTTGGGTCTCTCCTGGGCGGGCGCGGAAGCAGCGAAGGAGAAGCTTGAGGCGGGAGGCTGGGCTGCCGGCGTCGTCGATGCCTGCTTGGCGTCCTCCGAGCCAGGACTTGCAAAGCTTCCGAGCCTTCCGAGTAAAGACGGCTCCGCCGCCGCCGGCTTCGGCTTCGCAACTACGCTCGGAGCTTCCTTCGAGGCGGGCGCCCCGAACGAGAAGCTGGGAGCGGCCGATGTCGCGGGTTGGGGTTTCGCGGCATCCACCTCCTTCTTCCCAGTGCTCGCGGCGGCAGAGGGCGGCTGGGTCGAGCTGCCGTTGCCAAACGAGAAGTTCGTAGGGAACAGGTTGGTGGGCATCTTGATCTTGGAGAGATCTTCGGCGCCCGGCAGGCCGTCGTCCTCGTCGAGATCCTCCTCCCAAGCCGAGATGCGACCCGACGACTGGTGCGTACGGAACTTCTTGGCCGCACCCTGCCTCAGCGACGACTTTTCGCGGGTGCCGTCGGAGTCGGCCTGGCTGCGCACCGTGAAGTTGTCCTTCTTTGGCGGCGGCGCCGATGTCGACGACTTGGCAGCGGCGAGGCTGATTCGGTGCGATGCTGGCTTCGGAGCGGCGGGCGCTGCGGAGACAGCCACATCGGAGCGGGCCTTGTTCTCCTCCTGCTGCTTGCTAGCGTTAGTGGCGCGGGCGGCGGAGACAGGGGCGGCAGCAGCAGCGGCCTGAGTGGACTTCGGCTGGACCTTGGCCTTGCTCTTCGGCTTGACCACCTCGACCTCCTCGGCCGCCATCTCCTCGTCCTCGCTGCTCGTCTCCACGTCCCGAGCGCGAAGTCTGCGCGAGCGCCTGACCGGCTGCTTGGCCTGCCGCTTCGGCGGGACGGGCTCCTCTTCCGTCTCGACCTCAGTCTCGGTCTCGGTCTCGTCCATGTCGTGGTCCTCTGCTCGATCGTCTTCGAGATCGCTGTCGGCGCGGGAGTCCTCTAGCGCAGGCCGAGAGCGGCGCAGCTTGGCGCGAAGGCTGAGGCGTTCATCGGTCGTCTGCTGGCTCTGTGCCAGCTTGCTCCTTCGCAGGGCCCTCGAGTAGGGGGCCACGCCAATCGGCCGGGACCGATCGCTTGCCTTGCCGCTGGTGCTCGCCAGCGACCTGTCCGATACGGGAGCCGGCACGGATATCGGCTGCAGCATGCGCGACAACGCCGTCGGGGCCCCCGCGCCACGATCGCTGCGAGCGGCACCCTTCATGCTCTCGAGGACGCTGAGGAGCCTCTCGGCTTCGTTCTTTGGCGAGGGCGGCTTCGGCTCCCGCGCTCGGAGCTCTTCCTGGCTGATGAAGCCGAGCTGCGGGTGCCAGACCATCTGGCGCTTCCGTGCAGTCTGCAGCGAGGCGGAAGAGGCGAGAAGGAGGGAGCATCGGTTTCAGGGCTCAACGTCCGACGAGATACGCATATGCGCAGCACGAAGCATGCGCCGTGCTCGGCGCTGTACTCACCGCCATCGTCGATCCAGTCTCGTCGCCATCGACGCTCATGTCGATGTCGCGCTTGCCCAGGCGGCTCGGCGTCAGCGACATGCTGTCATCCTCGCGTGCGACGCTGCTCGCCCTCGAAGATCGCGGGTCGCTGAACACGTTCATGCCGAGCGACCTGGGGGCGGTGCCCGGCAGCGTGCGGGTGGCGATGTACTCGCGCATCATGTCGTCTCCCGGTCCAGGCGAGCGAGACGCCGCCAGACCGAGCGAGGCCCAGTCCCTTCGCTTCGGCGTAGTACCCCTCATAGCCGGCGACGAGGCGCGATAGCCGGTCGTGGCGACGCTTCCCGGGCCGATGCTGCCTCCGCGGAGGTGGTGCGGGCTCGTGCCCAGCTCGGATCCGAGCAGAGGTCCGAGGGACGAGCGACCCTCGCGAGGTGCCAGGGGGCTGCGCGTCGCCAGCTGGAACGGTGATGCCGTCGGGGGCAGGCCAAAGCTGCTGCGCGCCAGCCTCCGCTCGTTGCCGTAGCCGAACGCAAAGGAAGGGCTGCTCTGGCTCGGCGTCATCCGCGCATCCAGGCTATCGTCGGGCCGCAGCGACGACCCTCGTCGGTAGCCCACGGTGGCATACGGGCCGGCATGCGAGCCGGAGGCGACCAGCGGGCTGGGCCCGGCCGACAACCTCTGCTTCGCCCTGGCGGACATCGTCGAAGCTGCCGGGGAGGGCGATCGGCTCTTGAGCAGCTCCATCCGACCGTCGTCGCCGTCGGTGCGGCCGAGGTCGAGCACCCTCTTTGAAGTGCGAGACCTGGTCATAGGAGATGCCACCGCATCGCGTCCTTCGCTGTGGCCGATCCGGGACGATTGGGATGATGCCGCCTGCGGAGGTGGGGATAGGGCGGCGGACCTGGCCGCAGTCCTGGTGCTGCGCCTCAGGGCAGGCTGCTCGGGCTGCGTCGGAGCGTACCGAGCGACGCTCTGGCTCTCGAGGTCGTCGTCGTGCGGCTGCGCGTGCTGCTGCGGCGATCCCAAGACACCTGCGGCCAGGCGTGCACCGATGGCGCGGGCAGCGAGCGACGGCGCCTCACGCTCCGGGTCATCCCTCTGCGTTCGGGCGCCGGCATCAAGGGCGGCACGCGTCCGGGCCGCTGCGCCGAGGCTGTGGGACGACGCAGACTTGGGCAGTGGGGTGCCTTCGGTGTCCGACTTTGCAGCAGTGGACGAGCTGGCTAGCCAGCTGAGGGGTCGCGAGAGGATGCCCTTGCCGACGCTTCCGAGCAGAGCGAGCGGCGAGGCGGCTCGCAGCGACGAGAAGGGCGACTTGGCCTCGTGCGCAGCCGGGACTGCCAATGCGCGGCCGGGAGTCTGGGGCTGGACTACGGCCAGATCCGAAGCCGACGACGAGGGTGCGAGGCCATTCTGCGTTGGAGCAGCGGCGGAAGTGCGCCTCGAGTAGGGTTTCAGCGACGAGGTGCGGTTCTGCCGAGCCGCGAGTCGGGCGCGGGCCGGTCCCGACAGCGGCTTGGCGGGCGAGTCGGGGTACTGGGCAGGGAAGTCCATCCTGATGTCGAGATGAGGGAGCCCGGCCGGTCAATGATGCTGAACCGCGGAGCGAGAGGCGAGAGGCGAGAGGCGTTCAAGGATCGACAGTGGAGCTTTCCGCGATCAAATCAGCAGCTAGAGTGCAGCGAGGCCGCGCATACAAGTGGAGCCGGAGGCAGCGACGGCGGTGGTGAAAGGGGCGGGCGAGCTGAATGCGGGTCGGCAACGCACGGCCAAAGGTCGGACGGGCGAGTGGTGAAAGGGAAATGGACAGACGACACTTCCTCTTCCAGAATCTACGAAAGAGGCTGCGAGCGGGTGGTGTACCGAGGAAGAAGGCGCGGGCGGTGTCGGTGGGGGCGCTGCTTGTCCGGTCAGTGGTAGTCCTCCGCCTCTTCTTTCTTCTGAATATATGTCGAAGCCGATGTCGGCTTCGTCGGTGGGATGATTTGTTGGTGGCGGGTATTGGCGGCGATGTTGGCGGCGGCGGCGGTGGCGGCGATGGTGGTAGAGGCGGTGTTGATGGTGCGGGTGCCGGTGGTGGTGATGGTGGTGGTGGTGCAGGGGGGTGTGATCTCATGGGGTCCGTCAGTCGGTTGGTCGCCAAGCGAGCACAACTTTTTTTTCCTCCCCGTGCCTGCCCCTGGGCCTGCCTGCGACAACCTTCCGTTGTCTCATCTGCGCAGCCAGGCCAGGTCGGCAGCCCCGATCCGATCGAGAAATCCAGACTGCTCGTTGGCCATCCGCATCCCCGCCGCTCGACCCCCGATGGACAGCGCGCACGGCCGGCGAATGCAGAGGCACCTTGCTTGCTGGCTCGCTCCTTGCCCTCTTCTTCCAGGCTCGCTCATCCCCCTCCATCGCCTGCTCGCGCAGTTCATATCAATCCATCACCGCGCTCACCGCCATATCACGGGCCTCTCGATTGGCCTCGAATGGACTCGCCAGCCTGTGTGCCCTTGGCGCACAGACATGCAGTGAATGCTGCCCCTTTCGTTGACCACATCGTGTTTGGCAGACCACCGCCCCGGCACTCTTCCCCAGATCTCGACGGCAGCGTGCATGGTGATGCAGTGGCCCCCTGAGCACTCATCCGTCCCTCCTCACCTCATCGCTTATCGTCTGGCTTCCAGCCCTTTTCATATAAGTCCGGTCTGGGGCCGCCCAGACCACACTGACAACCAGACTTATCGTGCTGTCTCGCCAGCCCTCATTCTCTCTCCTTGATGCAATCACCCACCCGCTAGCAGCTCTGATACGATCGAAGCCTTCCTTAACCAGACAATCATCGCTTCCTCCAACCTCCGGATCGCCGCCCAATTCCAGCCTGTTCAGGATCACGAAGACATGCCCGGCTCAGCGTCCGATGAGGTCGTCTCGGCCGCCGATCGCAACGCCACCAAGACTTCGTCATCCGAAGACGCTTCTGCCGCAGTCCGCACGAGTAGAGGCCAGCAAACTGAGCTCGAAGATCTCGAGCACTTTGCCTACACCCACACCTCGGCCACCGTCGACGTGCTGGTCAGCGTATTGGCGACGTGCGCCAAGCATCTGCGTCACGGTCGCATCGGCGCAAGCCCTGGCTTCCTAAGCAGCAAAGCCAACCTCCGCGATGCCTTCGGCGACTGGCTCCGCGACTCTCTACACACGAGGTCGTCTGACGAGCGACCCGCGTGGCTGGCCATTCGACTCCAGCCCGAAGGCGTGCAGCTCAGTCTCAAAGACGCCGATGCCCTCTTCGAGATAGTGGCGCCGGAGCTGCGAGGCGGCTTCGACGAGTCCCCTCCCGTCGTGGTTCGACTCCTGCATCGCATGCTGACCGAGGGCATGCTCGGTGAGTGTCGGTCCGCCTACTCCGTCTCGCCTCTGGGTCGACCAACCGCTGATCCCCTGTTGTCCACACGCGGCTCCGTCTCGTCAGCCACTCCGCGTCCGCAGCGTACCACGCCGTGGAAGGGCATCCTCGAGCGCGACTACTCTGTCGAATTCCTCGGCGAAGGCAACGCCCTGCTCTGCCACCACATCAAACTCTTGTTGGAGACGTACGATGAAGATTTCTGTTACGGTCGCGTCGTTCCGATAGTCCAGTCCTCGGGTTCGGGCAAGTCTCGTCTCGTTGACCAGACGCTCAAGAAGACTCACCTCGGCCTCCAAATTTGCTTGCGCTCGAAAGAGTCTGGTAATTCCTTCCCACCGCGAGACAGCGCGGTGGCCGATGCACTCTTCCGTCCTGCAGTCCCCCATCGCACCGACCACAAAGACGGCGAGCTGGGCAATCGGCTCCGCGTCGTGGCTTGGCTCGAGGCCGTTGCCTACTGCCTTGCCACCGAAGTCGCCCTCGTGACGGAGAGCTACGAGCCAACGACCTCGGCAATTTCGCTCGCGGGGCACTTCTACGAACACTTGCACGGCGATGCGATCTGGGATCCTAGACACGACAGGCCATTCGAGACCAGCCGTCGTGAAGATTTGCTCGAGGCCATCGCCGTGCGATGCCAGCAGAACTGCGACCGTCTCGCCCAAAGCACCGATGACGGCCTCGATCGTTTCGAGAGCACGACGTGCGCACTTGCTTTCAAGTCCCTGCAGGGCGCCGTCGAGGCCGCGGTCCGGAAAGGGCAGATGCACGACGACGGCGTCTTTATCCTGGCCCTCGACTCGGCAGCCCAGCTCGGATGTCTGCTGGACGAGGTGTGGAAAGTATGGTACGGGATCGGCCAAAGATCCAAGGCCAACGCCGACCGGCTGGTCCTCGTCCTGCTCAGCACGGAACGGACAATCGCTGTACCCAACATGTTCGCCGCGTTTCTGCAGCCTGGGCGTCGAGCGGTGTTCCCTCCTCCAACATTTACACAGCTGCCGCACGATGTCGCCTACAACGCCCTCAGCGCCAAAGAGCAGGACCCGCACGGAAAGTTGTGGCGCGCCCTCCTGCGGCAACTGGCCCTGATGGGTCGGCCTCTGCTGGGCGATAGCCACCTCGGATACCACCAATTCGGACTCTATTCTACCTACTCGTCGCTGCGGCCCTTCGTCGGCGACGTTTCGCTATGGAAGGTGCAAGGCAAGATGCTCATGACAAGGGAGCCGATGCTCGGGCTCCCTCCCTGGGCCAGCGCGTGCAAGGACGACGGTTACCGTTCCAGCCGAATGTGCCAAGGCTCGCAACTCTTCGACGACGTGCACCGCTACCTGGCAGCTGTGTACCAGCGACTGCCGCTCAAATTCATTGGAGCGGGCCTCGACCGCTTCGTGGACAAACAGATGCGCGATCACATGCGCACCACCGCCGACCACGGCCCGCGCACGTCGTTGTTGACGATGTGCACGCCGTCGGAGCCCCTCGTCAGCATCGCCGCGGCTGACCTCTTTCGGCAGCCGCAAAGCAGCAGCCCACGGAGCGAGCCGGACGATGACGCTGCGGCAGTCGTCCATAGGCGCTGGAGAGAGGTGGCATCGGCGCTCATGTACGCGAGCCGCGCCTACTACATGACGCTCGGCGACGACTGGGGGTCGGCCGTGCGGTTCCTCTTGACGATCGCGACAGACACGGCCGCGGCTCAGCGGCTCAATGTGGCCGACAGCGAATGCGACATCATCAAGAAGCGACAGGAAATGTGGCAACAAGGCCTATCGCTCGACCCCGTAAATCTGTGGGAATGGCTGATGCAACTCTTCGGCGACGCCAACTTGGAGGCTGCGATCAACGTCGAGACCCGAATCGATCGGCAGCCAGACGACGCCTCGGCCGTCGAGGGACAACGAGCGCTTGGACCTCTCGAGCAGTTTGCGCGGTCGGCGCGACTCAACTTCACTCATTTTGCGTTGCTGCCGGAAAGACTCGACAGCGTCACCAAGGACATGCTGGCGCTGTGGTTCACCTGCCACGTTGCGCTGTGCGCAGACCCGTCGCAGGAGGGATGGGACATGCTCATCCCGGTCTACGTCGACCCGGACTGGAACGGTGAGCAGACGCAGATCGACGTCAACAGGTTCTCGCACGTCGTCGTTCAGGCCAAGGTTCGACGCAGCGCGCTACCTCGAGGCAAGATCGGTATCGCACCGCCGGCCATCTCTGGCAAGGCACGAGGACCGATTTCCCGCCCCGAAGCTCAGGAGAGCAGCACCGGGACCCCGTCATCCGAGTCGGTGCCGTCCTCGGCGATGGCCGCCGAAGCCGCTCCGGTGACAGATGAGGCTGCAGCGTCGTCGGCTCGCTTCGAGTATCTTGCGTTGAGCATCGACCTGCATCCAGAAGTCGGCGACGAAGCGCCGGCGCTGCGCTACAGGTGCGACGACGACGGCGAGGCTCGAGGGGCGCTGGCCCACCACCTCGACGCCGTGGGGCTGAAGAATGCGTTCGGCACGTTGCTGGAGCCGTTGGGCAAGGGCTTGCTCGATCTGCTCCGCATTCTCATCCTCCTTGAGTCCGACCCGGTCAAAGAGGAGGGCAAGAGCGAGGCGCGATACGGATCCTACCTGGCAGCTCCCGGGTTTTTCTTTACACGACGTCTCAAAACTCGAGACGGGTAAAGGCGTCGTGCGGGCTCAGTACCGGATTTGGAGCTGCGCTTGTCGAGAGCCAGTTCGCAGGTTGCCCCGCGGAGTGACCGACACCGCACAGCCTGCCCTATGGCGACATTCAGCAGGCTGCCACGGCAGCATCAGCATCAGCCCTTCAAAACCAAAGAACTGCGTGCAGCAATATGAACAACAAAGTTCCTTCAGCAATCTGAGCTCCTCTCCCTCTGTCCTCTGTCCTCTGTCCTCTGCGCCTCTGTCGCACTCTGAGGCACTGATGCACGCTGTGTACTGTTGCACCTGTTGCACTTCTGTTGCGCTGTTGCACTATGTTCCCGCTGTCCCGCTCTCCGTCTCCCTCTCTCTGTGTGTCTGTACCCGAAAGCTCCACGCGCCAGCACCTGTGTGTGATCAACACAGCATCTATGTATGTCGACGCACTGCAGTTCGAAGATACCGGAGCGATGGATCGATTCGAGACGGGGCGATTCGTCGAAAAGGAGACAGTGGAAGCCGTCAGAGGTAAGATACAAGAAGTGAAACGGGAGGAAGGAGGGTCGGAAGCGAGGATGACGAGAACCTGGCCAGGTTGGGTTGCGCGGCGTAACGAACGAGAAGCCGCTGCATCGATGGGTGGATTTATGGATCGAAGAACTGCCGCTCGAAAGGCTGAGAGGAAAGCGAGGGGACGGACCGACGACATGGGATGCCTTCGGCCACAGTGGCAGTCCGTGTGCCTGGCCGGGGGTTGCCGCTGGGCAGGCATCGGAGCGGTGCCTAAGCCGCCAGAGCTGTCGTCGGAGGGGGGAGCCAGGGCCATTCGTCGAAACAGCAATTGGTGGCTGCCGTGGGGCCGAGTCCAAGCCCGAACGCCAGGGTGTGCTGCCAAGTGCCGCGTGCGCATCGTTCCCGCCGTGACCGTGATGCGAGGCCACGTTGCCGCCCGTCTGCGCCACCATCTCAACATCTCCGCAACAGGCCGAGCAACCCCTGCTCCGGATCCCTTGCGTCCTCGTCTGCGACCGCGCCTGCGAAGCCCCTCCTGCCCTCGGCATGGGCCGAACTCGTCTCAGGACCTGGAGTGCTGTGCGTGGGGATGGGTGATACAGAAACGAGACGTGCGCGCGCGCGTGCGTGCGCGGGAGAGGCGGGTATTCATTGGTGGCCACTGGTTGGACGAGACGACGTTCAGGGAAACACATGAAGGGCTGGCGGTCAGTCGAGTCGAGGGGCATCCATGCTGCTGTGGCGGTCAAAGACTCACAAGGTGTTCTCTCCCGAGTAGCTGACGTAGAGGAAACCGTCCTCGTCCTTGTGCTCCTCGTAGATTGCGCTCATCAGCGCGGCGGTGGCGGGCAGTACCTCGTCGACAAAGATGAAGATGGCCTTCTCGGGCGCCAGCTTGATCCTCTTGCGGATGACATAGACAAACTGGCCCACTGTGAGATCCTGCGGCGGTGTACGGGCGGACGGGCAAGAGGTGCAAGAGCAGATAGGCCGGACGGTGCGATGAGCGCCCTGGCCTCTCATCGTGCGGCCAGCTGTCGATCTGTCCCGGGCCGGCCGGGCGGCCAAGACTCACTGATGGCACGAGGTACTTCTTCTTGTCAATTGTAGGGATGTCGGTTCGGTCGGCCTTTTCGCAGATGACCTGGCAGAGACGGGCAGATCGGTGGAGCAGGATGCGGCGGGTGTGAGTCCGCCATGTCGCCTGCATTCGCCTAGGCAGATCGAGAGGCGAGGTCCCACTCACAGGGATCCTGTCGGGGTACTTCTGGCGGATGCGCTCGGCCTCGGCCTTGCGTTTCTCTATGGGTCGCGGACGGGCAAAGGAGGGCCAGAGGGAGGATGCAGAGGGAATCAGATGCCGTCCAGCCAGCCTGTGAGAGCGCTGATGCGATTCGTGCTCGTGCTCACCAAACGTGTGCTCGTTCTTGAAAGTGGACCTCATTTCGGCAGATAACGGCCTCTGTCGGGCAGGTGTAGGAAAGCAACGGGAGGTGCCAGGAGAACGGCGCTGCGGCGAGAGTAGCGGCGCCGAGATGGACAGCGGCTGGCGGTGGTGGGAGGCGGGCGAAAAGGCCGTAGTGCTGTCGACGTTCGAGGCGAGGCGAGTGAGGCTGTGATATGGGGTGGCGGAGAGCTGTGGCGAAGGGTTTCGAGGGTGGATGGGTATTAGGGCGGCGGCGGGAGTTGTTTCGGGTGGTCCAGGTGACGGGAGGTGTGCGTGGTGCGGATGACAGCAGGTGGCGGATGCGGGGAGAGGGTCAAAGGCGAGGGGGGCCCTGGCTGGCTGGCTGTTGGCCCAGCCTGCCTGGCTGCTGCTTGGCTGAAAGCCCCCCTGCCTCTGGCCGCCGCGCGTGCTGGGCTGCCCAGCAGGCCAGGCCAGGCCAGCTACACAGGCTGAGCCGGACAGCGGCTGGTTGCTCTTGATTTTTTGGCAGCTGAACCCTGGGCTGCCGGTTGGCTGGCTGGCTGGCTTGCGCGCAAAGAGGCCGGCGGTGTTGGCCTGGACGCACGGGCCGAAAGGTGCACCTGCCTGCCTGTTGCCTCCACCTGCGCTCCGCTCCCCGCCCCCCGCTCCGCTTCGGTTCCGCATCGTCACCGTCAACGGGCGGGCGAGCGGGCCTCCGGGCGCGCGACACGCTAAGCTTTCCTTCCAACAAAGAGGCGCGCAGAGGCCTCTCTCGGCCTGGCCTGGCTTGTCCGCCTGGGTAAAAATCGGCATGCCCGCCGCCAGGTCAGCGCCATCGCCCCGCTTCGCTGCGCTTGCAACGACCACCACCATCAACCTCTGCGCCACCCTCGTCGCCATCGACGCTCGTCAGCACCGTCGGGCCGTATCATCTGCTGCTCCTCCTCGCCGCATCCTGCATCCCGCCACACACGGCCTCGAGCCATCCTACGCAGACGACTCTCTGGTCGATCGGCCATCCAGCAGCCAAGTCGAGGTTCCGACCCGACCGGTACCCCTGCCTCTGTCGAGCTCAGCCACGGCGCACGCCACTTCACAAAGCCTCACGCAACGATCGAAGAACTGCGCGCCTGGCTGGCCATACGGCTCACGAACCTTTCGCTCACCACGCCCCTGGCCCGCCCACCATGTCCGACATTGTCATTGACGCCAAGGCCTTTTCCCGCAGGGCAAACGCCCTCTTCAAGGCGTGGAAGGCGGCCGAATCGTCCGAGGACCTCGATGCGCTCAGGCAGTGCGACTCGGTGATCGTCGTCTCGGGTGGGCAGAATGAGGAGCAGCCCTACTCCAAGACCTCGACCATCCACACCTGGCTGCTCGGCTACGAGTTCCCCTCGACCCTCATCCACCTCACCCGCGACGGCCTCACGTTCATCACGAGCGCATCAAAGGCGAAGCTGCTCGAACCGCTGAGGTCGGACAAGAACGCCTTCCGCCTCGAAATTCTCAAGCGCACCAAGAGCGACGACGACAACAAGGCCATCTGGGACGACCTCTTCTCCCGCATCGACACGGCGGGCAAGAGGCTGGGTCACCTGCCAAAGGACAAGGCCATCGGCAAGTTTGCCGTCGAGTGGGAGGGCGCCTTCAACGAGGTCAAAGCCAAGCACGGCTACGAGCTCGTCGACGTCGGCCCGTCGCTCAGCGCCGTGTGGGCGGCCAAGGACGACGACGAGCTCAAGACGCTCAAGGTGGCCGCCAAGATGAGCTCGACCGTCATGTCGGGCTACTTTGTCGACGAGATGTCGACGATCCTCGACGAGGGCCGCAAGGTGACGCACGAGAAGCTCGCCGCCAGGGTCGAGGACCAGCTCGAGGACTCCAAGACGTGGAAAAAGGTCAAGGGCCTCGAGGGCGCCGACATCACCCTCGCCGACTGGTGCTACACGCCCATCATCCAGTCGGGCGGCGAGTACGACCTGCGCACCTCGGCCGTGTCGACGGTCAAGCGGCTCGAGGCCGACGGAAACGGCGGCGTCGTCGTGGCCAGCCTTGGCATCAAGTACCAGAGCTACTGCAGCAACATCGGCCGCACCTACCTCATCGACCCGCACAAGACGCAGCAGAAGACGTACGCCTTCCTCCACGAGCTTCAGATGGAGATTGCCGAAAAGTTCCTGCGCGCCGGCGCCACCTGCCGCGACGTCTATGCCAAGGCGCTCGAATACGTGCGGGCAAAGGACAGCAAGCTCGCCGACGCCTTTGTCAAGAACGTCGGCTTCGCCACGGGCATCGAGTTCCGCGACAGCTCCTACGTCCTCTCGCCCAAGAGCACGCGCAAGATCAAGCAGGACATGGTCTTCAACCTGTCGGTCGGGTTCGCCGACCTGCCCGACCCCAACCACCCGGGCAAGACCTACTCGCTGCTCCTCACCGACACGGTGCGCGTCAACGACGGCCCCACGACGTTCCTCACCGACCGCGTCCGCGGCACCAACGACATGGCCTTCTTCTTCAAGGACGACGAGGACGAGGAGCGCGGCGACGTGTCGCGCGAGAGCCCCGTCAAGGCGACGGGCAAGGTGACGGCGACGGGCAAGGTGCTGCGCAACAAGACGCGCGGCGACGCGCTCGACGAGGGCGCCGCGCAGAAGATGAAGCTGCACCAAAAGGAGCTGGCACGGCAGAAGCAGGAAGAGGGGCTGGCGCGCTTCGCCGGCGAGGACGGCGAGGGCAACGCGTCCAACGAAAAGGTCTTTAAGAAGTTCGAGAGCTACAGGCGCGAGAACCAGCTGCCGGCCAAGGTGGCCGACCTCAAGATCATGGTCGACCACCGCGCTCAGTCCATCATCCTGCCCATCTACGGCTACGCGGTGCCGTTTCACATCAACACGCTCAAAAACGTCAGCAAGAGCGACGAGGGCGAGTTCACCTATCTGCGGCTCAACTTTGTCACGCCGGGCCAGATTGCGGGCAAGAAAGAAGACGTGCCTTTCGACGACCCCGAGGCCACCTTCATCCGCAGCATGAGCTACCGCTCCACCGACTCGTTCCACTTCAGCGAGCTGTACAAGGAGATCAGCGAGCTGCGCAAGTCGGCGACCAAGCTCGAGGCCGAGAAAAAGGAGCTGGCCGACGTCGTCGAGCAGGACAAGCTGATCCTCGCAAAGGGCCGCACCTACACGCTGCCCGAGGTCTTCCCGCGCCCGGCCCTCGACGGCAAGCGCGTGCCCGGCGACCTCACCATCCACCAGAACGGCCTGCGCTTCGCGTCGCCGCTGCGGCCCGACCAGAAGATCGACCTGCTCTTCTCCAACATGAAGCACCTCTTCTACCAGCCGTGCGACAACGAGCTCATCGTCATCATCCACGTCCATCTCAAGTCGCCCATCATGATTGGCAAGAAAAAGGCAAAGGACGTCCAGTTCTACCGCGAGGCGTCCGACGTCCAGTTCGACGAGACGGGCAACCGCAAGCGCAAGTACCGCGGCGGTGACGAGGACGAGATCGAGCTCGAGCAGGAGGAGCGGCGCAGGCGGTCGCAGCTCAACAAGGAGTTCAAGAACTTTGCCGAGCGCATCGCCGAGGCCTCGGACAACCGCGTCTCGGTCGACGTCCCCTACCGCGACCTGGGCTTCAACGGCGTGCCCTTCCGCACCAATGTGCTGCTGCAGCCCACGACCGACTGCCTCGTGCACCTGACCGACCCGCCGTTCCTGGTCATCACGCTGGCCGACGTCGAGATTGTCCACCTGGAGCGCGTCCAGTTTGGCCTGCAGAGCTTCGACATGGTGTTTGTCATGAGCGACTTTTCGCGCGCCCCGATGCACGTCAGCAGCATCCCCACGAGCTCGCTCGACGACGTCAAGCAGTGGCTCGACTCGGTCGACATCTGCGTCACCGAGGGCGCGGTCAACCTGAACTGGGGGGCCATCATGAAGACGGTTAACGAGGACCCGTACGACTTTTTCGCCGAGGGTGGCTGGGGCTTCCTCCAGGCCGACAGCGACAACGAGGACGACAGCGAGACCGAGTCCGGCTCCGAGTTTGGCTCGGACATGGACGACGGCGAGGAAGAGACGGACGAGGACAGCGGCTCGGGCTCCGACTTTGGCGACTCGGAGGAGGAGAGCGGCTCCGACGACTTTGACGACGAGAGCGAGGGCGAGGACTGGGACGAGCTCGAGCGCAAGGCGGCGCGCGCCGACGAAAAGAAGCGCAGGGACCAGGGCGGCAGTGACGACGAGGACAGCGGACGGAAGTCGAAGGGCAAGAGGCGGTGAGCGGGTCGTGACAACCCCAGCCGAGCCGCCCAGGCACCCGTCATCCCACACATCGCTAGGACCTGCCACGCTATCGCCCGCCACCGCACGCGAGCACGAAACGCATTTCACCATTATTGCCATTACTGCACGCCTTTCGAGGCGGAGGGTATCATGATCATCCTTGGCTGCTTGTCAGGCCTAGTGCGACGACGCCGAGTCTGACGAGCGAGCGCCTAGTCTTCGAGCTCAGAGAGGGACGATAGATCCGACTCATCGTCGTCGCCGTTGCGGGCCCGTGACGCCTCGTCGTCGTCGTCGTCGTCGTCGAAGCCTTCGAGGTGGACCTGATCCGGGACTGATCTCGACGTCATCGATCGCAGACCGTCGAGGAGGAAAATGATCGAGCAAGTCAGAGCTTGGTCCGACCTTTTCGGAACGGACGTAAGAGCATTACGGCTGTGAGGAGGGTTGGAGGGGCAAACGTACACCATCCGAATTCGGCGAGACTGACTCGCCACTTGGCATTGGGGTTGGCGTGGCCGGCGAGGTGGGTGGATACGCCGCCTCCGCGTCCCTCTGATACCGCGACGCCCTCCTGACGCAGTCGCTGGGCCTGTCTCGCCGCGGCCTCTCCGCCATCACCGCGATCGGAGATCGCACCGGACGATGCGATTACCCTCTGCCATGGCACCGATGGATCGCCGAGAAACTTGAGCGCGCTCCCGACCAGCCGCGAGTCTGCCAACGTCGGAGCGAGGGCGGTTTTGAGTGGGGGTGCCAAGGAGGAGAAGGGACAGGGAGCCGAAGGGTACGTACGGTTTGGATGACCTGCCAGCTGTTGTATCGGGAGGAGGATGGTCGTTCAGAGACGCTTACGGAGCGGCTCGAGGTGATGCGACGTTGGGGCACTCACCCTTGCAATATGGCCTGTCGTGCTCGAGCCCGCCGTCGATATCAGCACCAGCTCACACGCAAGCAGCACTCCCGGGTCGCCCCTTCGCCGGAGCCGGGGACTCACCGTACGTCGTCACTCGGCCATAGGGGATCAGCCTACAGATCTCATACACCTTTGCTACCGCCGCCGACAGCCAGCGCAAGATACCACATCTTCAGCCAATGATAAGAGGAGTGAGGACGAGTGTGGAGAAGGTGGACGTACCGTGGAAGATCTCAGGGTTGATGCTTCCGTTTGCCATCGTCGTCGTCGTCGTCGTCGTCGTCGTCGTTGGCTGCCCTCGCGGTGAGGGGAGTCAGGTAGGGCGAGGTCGCAGATGGGCGAGATGGAAGACTGAATTGTGGAGAGCGGAACCTGCCCGACGCCCAGTCGGGTCGGCCCGAGTTCCGTCGGCAGGGCCGCTTGAACGGTGCCCGCCCGACGGTAGAAGGTTTATCCCCCCGCCAATTCCGCATTCGGGGTCGTCGCTGGCTGGCTGGCTGGCTGGCCTCGTCTAGCCTCGCAGCCCAGCCCGCCTGCCAGCCTGCAGGGCCTGCCTGGCATGGCCAGACGACGCCGTGCCCGGACCTCCTTCCATCGTCGCTTTGGCTACCCATCCGTCCTCCTTCTCCTCCTTGGTTCACTTCTTCTCTTTCCCTCCCATCCTCCATCCACTTACCTCACATCTCCCGCCTACTACGGGCCACCGAACCGACGATGCTGTCCAACGCCCTCACGCCGCTAGCGGCGCTCAACGCCCACATGATGACGCCCGTGCACCCGACAGCCTACCCGTTCCCGTGGGCCACGACGCTCCACGCCCTCCGCGTCTCTCTCGCCTACCGTGGAATCTGCAAGGGCTTCAAGGCCCGTCGCAGGGCACAGGGCAAGAAGGACGACGAGCTTCAAGTCGGCATGCTTCGCGAGGCCGCCGGATTCCTGGTCATGGTCAGTCCTTGAGTGGCCTCCCTCGACCCGGCTCGCTCTTGACGACGCCTGACGAGGTCCTTTTCCTTGATCCCCCCCGCCCTTTCCTCGTTTGTTTGCTCTCGCATACAGGCCTGGGGCGGTAGCTTCCTCTCCAACTACATCCTCACACAGATCCCCGGCCAGCTGATTAGCGTGCAGCCGTGGCTCAACTACCTCTCGGTGCACTATGCCGTCGGGTTCCTCCTCACCCTCTTCCCCGCCCCCTCTGCCCGCCTCCTCGACCTGTGCCTGCCCGTCCTGGACGGAGCCACGCGGACCGCCGCAACGCTGGGCGGCATCAATCTGGTCCTCAACCACGTCAACCCGGCCGTCCGTTCCTCGTGGCTCCTCCAGGTGCTCATCGCCACCATCTCGGCGTCCGGAGGCGGAATCTCGGCCTTTACCCTCAACGTCTTTGACCCCGTCGGATGGAGCTTCTCTACGCCCCCCTTCCTCACGTTTTCGCGCCTGGTCGAGTTTACCGACATCCTGGCGCCCATGATCGCCGCCCTCGCCTTTGGCGTCGTCACACAGTCCCACCCGGCCTATACCAACCTCGTCCAGTCTTCGAGCCTCACCTCGCTCCTCGGCGTGCACGGCGCAAAGATGTCGGCCCCCGCCTTCTCGCCCGACCGCGCCAGGGCGCTCGTCACCCTCATCATCGCCACCTGCTTCTGGGCAAAGGCCATGGTCACCCACCTCTTGGCCCCCGTCACCCCGCCCGCTTCCGCATCGACCAGCGTCAAGAAGATCGCCGCCCCTGCCAGGTCGAGCGGCAGCAGGGCCAGCACCCCGTCCACGCCTTCCACCAGGAGCAGGAAGGCCGCCAACAAGGTCGAGGCCTGATCAGGCGTCGTGCCACATCGACGATAACCTTTCGACCGACCGAGGGATCGGTAGAGGGTCGATTGCTCTAGATGTCCCGTCCTGCTCTTCCTGCTCCGCTCTGCGCTGCCCTGCTCCACCTGCCCTGCCCTGCACCCTGCTTCGAATCTCTGCTTGCTTATCCTGCCCAAAAGGGCTCCAGTCTATATAAATACGTGAACAAGACGGACGACCGCAGCTGCCAACTTCCCTCTAGAGGTTGCTCTTGACGCCCTCGCGCTCGACGGCCTCCCTGCCCTCGCCAATGACGCGCTCGAGGATGGTGTTGACGCGCTCGTCGAACTGGTTGCCGAGGGCGTGGCCGGCCACCTGGAACTTGATGAGCTCGGCGTTGGGCATCTTGTCGGCGAGGTACTGCGAGTTGCGCGGGTCGACCAGGTAGTCGGTGTCGCCGGTGAGGATGACGATCTTGGGCACCGCCGTGTTGATGCGCTGCAGCGCCGAGTCGGGCACGTTGTGCGTCACGGCCGCCTTCATCTGTGCCACGGCGCCGTGCAGTGTCTGCCGTCGCGTGAACTGGAAGCGCCATGCGAACATCTGCCGGAGCGGAGCGAAGGCGCCAGCGGGGGAGCACGCCAGGGCGGTGGGGCGAGAGGGCGAGGATCAATGCTTGTCCCCGAGGCCCATTGATCAGACGGCGCGGCGCCGCAGACTTACCTTGAAGAGGATCTGCCTGTTGGTCTTGTTCTGGTCGTACTTGGACTTTTCCTCGAGCCAGGGGATGGGGAAGAGGGTCTCGATGAGACGGTTGAGGCGGTACGACTCGCTGTCGAAGCCCACCACCCTGCCGCCCAGGACGCGGACGAGCGAGCGGAGGCCGTACGACGGCGTGCCGTACCGCTTTCCGGGCGTGGTGCTGATCAGCGAGACGCTGGCGAGGAGGTCCGGACGGGTCCGTGCGAACTCGAGGCTGATCATGCCGCCCATCGAGACGCCGACGAGGTGGATGGAGCGCGGTTTGGCCCAGCCGAGCTGTTCCAGCAGCTCGATCACGTCGAGCGCCATTTCGGATGTTCTTTTGTCGGCGACGAGGTTAGAATGGGCAGACGGGGCCGCAGCGTCAGAACCGGACGGAGCGAACCGATAGGGCCGTCTCGCGCGATCGGAAACGCCGCCACTCACTTGTACAGGCCAGCAGGCGTGTCGCTGTTGCCGACGCCGCGGTTGTCAATGACGAGGCAAGAGTACCGCGGGTCCTTGCTGAGGTGCTCGACCTGGGGCAGCCATCCGAAGCAGCTGTTGTTGAGGCCCATGACAAAGACGACCTTGATGGGCCCGCTGCCGTGGACCTCGTGATAGCATCCGAATCCCTCCTTGCCGTCCTTTGACGCGGGCACCCTTCCCTTTGCGAGGGTGCGCACGCCGCGCTGCGTGACAGTGGCCGGGTTGAAAACGGTGGGCAGGTACGCGTCGCCCTCTGCCTTCTTGGCCTCATCGAGAAGCTCCTGAGTGGCGCCAGCGTAGGCCGCGCCGTAGGGAAGGAGTGCGGTCGCCATCGTGCGTGGTAGTGCCTGGGTATTGCGAGTTGCAGGGGCGGGAGTCACAAGCGTCTATACGTTGCGTCCGGGTCGGCGGGTGATGGTGGCAGAAGGGACGATGGGCGTCGCTCGTGGAGGATGGGGATGGGAAGCGGTCGAGCGAGGACGGCGGGGCTTGGACCCTTTGCGGCTGATGGACTCGTCGGTCCGCGGAGGCAGCACGGCACGCCCGGACCAAAGCAGGTTTGCGCGTGAAGGAGCGGTTGCCCACAGCCCGACATCCGGGTTCCCCGCCCTTGGAAAAAAGTTGTGGAGGCAGCCAGGCCGGCCGACATCCGAAGCACACCGGCCGACTTCCGAAGAGCTGCGGCCCGCCCTGGCGCCTCGTCTTTCACGACATCGCTCGCCGTCGGCCCAACCGTGACGGTCTGGCCTCTCTGGGGCCAACATCGAGGCGTGTATGTCTGCCGTCGGTCACAGCCGCTCGACAGACAGCCAGAGAGGAGTCGATGGCCGTCGACCACCTGGTCAGACAGTAGCACGAAGCCGTGGTCGATCCGGCGTCGGCCCCTGCTCGCTCTTCAAGCGCTGACCTTGCGCCAGCCCCTTTTCATGCCAGCCCTTGCCGCCACAGCAGAGGCGAACCTGTCAGCATGGAGATCGAGCAAGACTTCCCTGCTCATTGCTGCCAGCCGTCCGTGTCGTCGGCGCGAGAGCCACGGTCCCGAGGACGAGAAAGGTGCGCCGAGGGACGAGCAAGGCCTGACCCGTCACTGCGGCAGCAAAGGTCGGGCCAAGCTTTCGGACCCGGCGACTCTGGATCTCCTGCGGGCCGTGCCTGACTCTGTCTTGGCCCCGCCTCGCGCCGAGGTTGCACCCATGTTCTGTGAAGTTCTCTGCCCGCTCTGACTTTGAACGGTGGTACGGCAAAGCAAGGAGTCGACGTTGTCGCCCTGCCCGGCCCGGCCATCTTCGTCGATTTCGTTTAACTTCGCCCGTTTGGGCTCCCGCCCAGGCCGCTCAACGCCTTTCGATGGCGTGTAAGCGTACAGTCCAGCAGAAGTGGCGTCTTGCACTTGCTCTGCTCTGCTCTTGCTGACGGTGAGACTCGCGGGAGAACCTATTGGACAATCGAGCGCCTGCGGTAGGCCAGGTTCAAGGGCGAAGCGAGGAGCGCAGCGGCGACAAAGGGCGGCCTGCACCTACACACTGCTTAGCACAGTGTGTAACTACTCTGTCGACGCTTAACGTCCTCGCGCGTTGGGACCGAGGCGACCTTGCCTCGACGGCTGCAGCGAAGTGGCCCGCTGCTCCCGTCGTCGTCCAACGGCCGTCATGCGCCCGTCGCCCTTGAGCCCCCTAGGGTTGCTTTCGCCACCTAGCCTGCTGCTTTCATTTGCCTCGCGAGTTGTCAAGATCGCGAGACGGTCATCTCGACGACGGCCAAGCCAAAAAAGGCTCTCGGCGGGCCGGGGGTCGGTGTCATCCGTTCGGACTGGGCTGCAAAGGGGTCAGAGGCAGGCGGGCGGTGCAACCGAACGCAGCTGGGCAGACCAGCCCGCCCCGCACCGCATGCCTTTGATGCTGTCTTCATGTGGCGAGGGGTGGGCCGTCCGCCTCCGAGCATGTCGCTGGCGCCGTCCTGTCCTTATGGTACTACACTGCAACCTGCACACCGCCGGTCGTGGGCTGACCCCTCACCGCCTCCTCGATGCGTGGCAAAAGGGAAGGGTGTGCCGGCCGCGTCGGTCGTGTCTGATCGCAGATGACTCGGGCGCGGCACACGAGGAGCAGCCGCATGTGCAGCAAGCAGAGAGAAAGAAAAGCCGTCGAACTTGGACCTCGCTCGAGACTGGCGGCTCGACCCCGACATCCGTTGGAGCCGCGCCGCAGCCGTGTCCTCGGCGCTGCGTTGGCTGGTTCGTATGGCGGACCGACATGCCCTGGATTTCTTTCGACCGGCCCCTGGCGCCGTCGGCAAAGGCGAAGCAGCGGCCCTGGCCCGGCACTAGCTGCGGTAAGTGTTATGTACAAAGGTAGCCATGTAGATTCACCTACATACGCACTGTACGCACTCGCGAAAGGGTGTAAGACTAGTGTGTTAGGTGTCCTAACGTTTTGACCCACATCGGCCGTGGTTCATCGATCTCGGCGTTGTCTTTTGAGCGAGTTCCTGCCTTCCCTCACCCACAGCAGCAAGGCAATGTGCGGGCGGGCGGCGAAGGCAGAGCGAAGATCACGGATGGACATTATTGTGCCGGGCTGCAGAGAGGCGGGCTCCCGTGTCTCTCGCTGAGCTGGCTTCGGGCAGGCACCGCGGTGTGATGTGAGAACTCGACGGCCGATGGTCGGAATGCCGCCAGACTCGCATCGGTGGCGTTCGCCTCTGGGCAGCCAGCTCGGACATTCGCTACTTACCGCACCCACCTGCTCTGTCCCCTTCTTGCTGCGCTCCTCCAGATGCACGCAGGCGTCCTCACGACGAGCGGGCTGTGCGCAGCCTGCTCGGAAACCTAGCCTGTCGCCCGGCCTACTGTAGTCTCAGGGTGACGGGGCGCAGATGCCCACTTTGAACGGCGACCATTCGCCGTCGTCGCCTGCTGTAGCCTTACCTTGCGGGTGAAGCTCTTCTCGTAGAGTAGGTAGATCGTTCGGTGCGAACGACGGGTCATGGCGCCCCTGGGCCCCGGCCTCTCTGAGTTGGCCAAACCCACCTTTGTCGGGGTCTACAAGCGTTATGGCTGAAGCAAGGACGCCCGCCCGACCCCTGCTACCTTTCTCGCTCCTTTGTGACCATGACTGACTTGGAGGCGAGGCCCATTCTTATTGTTCGTGTGCCTCGGCACTTCAACAGGCGGTGCGGGCTGCAGCACGCACACGCTGTCCCTTTTCTGTTTCTGAGCATCGGCCGCGATGACTTGGCAAAGGCCGTACGTGAAGTAAGAGCACCTTGCGGCACATCGAGCTGTGTGGCTGCAACACCCCCTTTGCCAGCGACAGAGAACTTATGTACTCCTCTCCACTCACTTCGCCACCCGAGTGTCGAGGAACGGCACAGCAGCTTCAACGACACACTCTCTCGCTCGCTTTGCTGGCAGCCCGAGCTTTGCTTGTCGCTGTGCGCAAGGAGTAGGGGCGAAGGCATCTAGGTATGTTTTCATTTCGGGCACGGCGCCGGTCCATCTCGGTTCGCCGGTTCTTGATCGCGGGAAGCCTATGATGGTATGCCGCACCTTGCGTAACGATACGATGCGGCGCCGCCTCGGCGACAACGGCTGCTGATTGCATCGCTCCCCCCGACCTGAGAAGGCGACCAACGGCACGGTGCTAGGGTAGGCGTGTACGTACTGTACGGACGGCCCGCCTCGTCGCATGGCGAGCGGCGCTAGGTCTGGTCTGGCCGCATGGGCGGACGCGCTCCGACGACGACGAACCGCTTCTGCAGGCGCCTCGCGTGGCGCGGCGCGGCCCGAAGAGGGCGCCCCACCATCTGTCGTCAGCCAGCCAGAGTGGTTGCGAGCGGGCGAGCGGGCGGTGCGGCGGGCGCGGGCATGGCAAGGCGCAACGAATCGAAACGAAAATTGAAATACCGAATCGCAGCAGAGCATGGCCAGCAGGGGTGCTGGGCGGCGTCAAGAGATGGGAGGCTGCGTGCGGCGTGCCTGGCCGCGCTGCAACGGCGACCGACGAAACGACAGCGTAGCGAAAGCCAGCCAGCGCGGCCCAGCTCAGCCACACACGAAGACGGCTTGGCCCCTTTGCCTCGTGATTTTCGAAGTCAAGAAGAGACGACGATGCTCGACGGACGACCCGCGAGGCAGACCTGTCTTGTGTTATGAGGTCGCGGCTTAGAGGCCCGAACAACCGACCGGCCGGCCGACCGATGCATGCTGCGAAACTGCTCGCCTACCTGCTGGGCGGAGGCACCGAGCCCGCCCGTACGACGGCATGCTCCGACCAGGCCTCGGCCCCCACCTTGGCGTCTTGCCTCGCTCGACGCCCCCCGAACCAGAGAGTGCGTAGTGTACCCTCAAGTGATGACCCAACAGCTCGCGTCGTGGGCCGGCGTCCGCTTCCGCCTTCTGTGGGCCCTCCATCAAACCCTTTGAGGTGTGGGCACTCTATTCTCGCACAGAGGTCCGACGACGCTTCCCATGTCGCCGTTCCACCGGAGCTGGCAAAGGCAGGCACCGAGCACAACGGCCTCTCCCTCTCTCTCACTTCGTATGCAGCGCTGTGTGGTCTGGCCAGTCCCTGGGCGCCCTTTCAAGGCGATTGTTCGCTCCGCCGCGCGCGCGCGTAAGCATGAGCAGCAGCAGCGGCAGCATCACCAGCACCAAACAGCGAGAGTAGTTGAGTGATACCGAAGCGATGTGGCAGAGAAGCCGCTGCTGCCCACCTCGTCGGACCTGGCCCGACACACTCTCCCTCCATCTCATCTAAGTGCATGCACGTTCGAGTGCAAGGAAGTCCTAGGTCGACCGTCATCCGCGGGGAGTCGGCGTACCCGGAAAGCCCGCTGCTCGCACCGCCTCCGCTCGGCGCCGGGCTGACCGCCGCTTGGCGCGCGTCTCGGAAGGCCAGATCGGTCGGTTGATTTGCATATGTAGGTATGGGCGCTCCTCCTGACCCCTAGCCTGGCAGGCCTCCCTTGTGGCCGGTTTGGTGGCGACGCAACGGGCCCGACTCGCCTGCAGGCTCGCCGTCAGGTGCCGTGCTGTGCCGTTTCGCGGTGCGCTTTGTCCTGCCTGCCACGCCAAGCCGTGCCGCGCCAGGACTACCTGGCCTGCCATGCTGTGCTCCTCGTCGACCTTCTGACGCCACCTTGCCCACCTCCAGTTGCTCGTTTCCGCAGGCTTGCATCGCCTTCACCTCTCTCCTTCTTCAGCCTCGGCGGCGTAGGCGCAGGCTGGACGAGCAAGGAGGGATCGTGACAACCCGCACCGGGCTGACGACGAAGCAGCAGAGTAGAGCAAGTTAGGGGCCAGGCAGGGGTGTGCGGAAAAGGTGCCCGCCCGCGTTGGCCGGCGCCGGACCATGACGCTCGTTGGCCTTGCTTGCTTGCTTGCTTGCCTGCCTGTGTGTGAGCAAGTGTCGTTGCCGGAGAGGCCGCAATCGGACGCCCGCCCCGGCTTTGGCCACGATGGTTCAAAGGCTGCATAGGCTTGGCTAGGCTGGGCCAGGCTAGGCTGCCTGCTGGCCCTTCATGAGGCACTGCACTCGCTCCGCTTGCACCTTGCTCCTGCCGGCCTGCCTGCCCGCGTCTCTCTCTCTCTCTCTCTGGCCGTCTGCCGTTCCTTTGTCGCGGTCCCTCGCCTCTGCCGCTCTTTGCATTTTTGGGGCCTGAGCCGTCTCTGTACCACCATCGATTCTGCCGATATCCATGTTTGCTTGCCCAGGCCTCTTTAGCCGTCTAGGCCAGGCCGCCCCTCTGCCTGCCTGCCTGCCTGCCTGCCTGCCGGCCGGTCTGCCTGCGCGTGTCGGCTCAATCACAACCACCCCCACCCATGCCCTCATGCGCGGACCGTAACGTCGAAGAGCGCTGCAACCCGGGTCCGCCCACCACCTCACCTCGCCTTAGCTTGCTGCCCGTCCGTATGCAAAACGGCAGGCACGCTGCGTTTGAATGGTCTCGCGACAAGCAAGCAAGGGCGGACAGGCGGGCGGCGAGAGCGGAAGGTGATGCCCAACGGGCGTATGAACATGACCTCCCTTCTGCGAGCCTCTTGGCCACCGGTACCCTACCGTGGCCACCCTCGCAGCAAGCTGCCGCTGCTGCCCCGTTGGGCATCCTAGCGGCCACCCACCACCACACCAACCTCGGACTCTTCTGACAGGCGGCCTTACGGGCCCACACTCTAACCACGGCCGCCGACCCCTGGGATTCAACCGTACGCCAGACCTTCACCACCGTTCTTCCGTTAGACCGCACTTGGCCCACCATCTCCTCTGCTCGTCTTCACCCTGCGTCGTCTCTTCTGGTCACCGGCTCGCACACCTCGACCATCACCACCACATCTGTTCTCGTTGACGACACCCCCACCGAACACCGCTCGACGGCTCAGCCCATGGCCTCGCAACGTAACCTAACGGACACACTCGCTTCCTCCTCTCTTCGACCTCACTCGCCCACCCTCTCTCCCTCTCTCTTTCTTTCTCCCCCTCTCTCGCTTCCTATTTACCTCCTCGTCCGCCTGATCCTGCCTTGACCTTGATCTTCAACCTTCTCACCGAACCGCAACACCGCCCTTGCCATTTGGTCCGCCTCCTTGGTCGCTCTCCGGACGGCCTGCCCTGCTCCGCGCCGCTGGCCCTGGCGCACAAAGACCGTTTCGTCACCAACCAGCGAAGCTCGACGGAGCCAGCAGCGGCACAGCCAGACGACAAGCTGACAGCGTCGCGCTAGACTTGTCCGTCGCTCTCGCTGCAGCGAGCACGTCCCACACCGGCTCGCCCCCACTTCTCACTTGGCGTGCCACCGGCGACGCCAACCTCGAGCGACACCAGGCCATCCTCAGACCGCGAAGCCATGGCCGCCCTCCATCGCCCCTTCAGCATCGGCACGGAAGGCGATCTGCTCTCATCGGATCCGGCCGACTACGCCTACGAGCCGTGCCGCAAGCACTACTCGCGGCCTTCGTCGTCGTCGAACCGCAACGCCAGCCGCAGCCTCTCATCGCCCCGTAGGCAGGCTGAAGCTAGCATCGACCCGCGAGCAGACGCCTGGACTGGCTGGCCCGCATACACCGGCACAAGCAAGATGCAGACTGGCCCGCAGGCGCACTACGACCATGGCGCGGCGTACCCGGGCTCGGGCGCAGTGCTGGCGCATCGCACCGCCAACCAAACCCGCCCGGCTGTTGAGGGCAGGAGCATCGGGTCACAGGCCGACTCCGGATACGCCGACTCGCATGCTCCCCCAAAGCCCCCGAGTCCGCCGCCGGCACCTCCGATGCCCGCCGCCCCCAGCTCGGCTCGCCACGACGCCGGCTCAAACACGTTGGCCTCGTTCGGCCTCGATGTTCCTGCGACGACCGCGGCGGCGACTGACCTGACCCCGAAGCGCCCCGTTCCGATCTGGGAGTGGTGTGCCAACATGGTCTGCTACATCTGGTTCGCCGGCGTCGCTACCCCGGAAGCCTCGCCCGCGCCACCGTCAGCGACCACTGCCACCCCCTGCCGCAGCCCGACGGCCTTCAATGCACCCCTGCAGTCGTCGCCGCTCGCCAACCGCCGCCATCGCAAGAGCGATAGCCTTGGCAGCCTGTCGGAGTGTTCAAAGTTTTCCGCCCACGACCTCAGCCAGGCCGTCGAGGCGCACCTCCGCGCCAGCGCTGACCCTGTGCGCTCGCCCAGCTCGGTTGCCGCGGACAGCCGCCGCGACCCCCTGAGCCTTCGCCTCTCGGCGCGCCACCGCTTCAAGCTGTTTGTCAAGGATCTGCTCAGCACGACGCAGGTCTCGAAATCGGTCATCCTGCTCGCACTGTGAGTCAGGGGACAGCCGGGAACCTCGGGCGACGTGTGCACGGGCTCGGGAATCAAGACTGACCGACCGCCGCTGCCCTTCCTCTCCTCCGCTTCGCCGTGCAGGCTCTACATCCATCGCCTCAAGTCTCGCCACCCCGGCCTCCGCGGCGAAGAGGGCAGCGAGTTCCGACTGTTCATCACCGCGCTCATGCTAGGCAACAAGTTCCTCGACGACCACACCTACACGAACAAGACTTGGGCCGAGCTGTCCGGCATCGAGCTCAAGGACATCACGCGGATGGAGGTCGAGTTTTGGCTCGGCCTGTCGATGAGCATCTACGTGTCCGACGTCGACTTCCGGCACTGGATCAAGACTCTCGAGCAGCTCGCCCAGCGCCGCCAGCAGGCGCTCATCCGCCGCGAGATGGAGGCTGCGCGACGATCCGCCATTCGGCAGCAGCAGAGGCTCCAGCGCAGGCAGCAGCAGCAGCTACAGCAGCAGCAGCAACAGCTCCAAAGGCAGCAGAGCTTCTCTCGCCAGCTGCAATGCTCCCGGGCAAGCCCGAGCCTGCCATGGAGCCCGCACGCGGCCTACCACTCGGACGGCGGCGCATCGCCAAACAGGAGCGGTCCCATGCCGACCTTTGCTCCCTTGCTGTTCAGCCCGTCGTCGCAGCCGGTGGACCCCGTGGACCCGCGAAGGACGCCGACAGACGCCGCCTGTCCCGTCTACCCAGCATTGCCGGCAGTGGATGGCCTCGGTGCACTCTCCGGTCACACGCAGTACGACTATCGACTTCTATCGCCGGACAGGGATGACTACCTCACCGGCAGGAGGCCGTCCGGCGCCACGAAGCGCTCGCTCGCAGCCGTGCACGGTAGCGAGCCAGCGTGCGCCTATTCCAGCCCCTCGCCCGAGAGGCCCCGAAAGCGCATGGCCGCGCTTGAGCCCGCCTACTCGATGGAGCGATCGCAGCGCACCTCCCTATCGCCGTGCGGACAGCCGGTGGCTCCCTGCTATCCCGAGGGGGACCCGTCGGCCCAGGCTGCAGCTTGCGGCGTCAGCCCCATCTCGAACCAACCCTTTCCGAGGTCGGTGTTCGAGCCGCTCGTCACCACGCCCAACACCCTGCTTGCGCCCTACATCTCGCACCAGACAGCTGCCCAGGCCCAGCAGCATCGCCAGCACCCTCTCGCCTACTGGCAGCTCGCGGCGGGACACGACCGTGGCATCCTCGGCGTCCACCTTCCCGCGCCGCGTCCGTCGTCGAGCGGCGAGTACTACGGCCCTGCTCTCGCCGACAGTGGCCGACGCGGCAGCATCGGGTTCGCCGTTGGCACGCCGCCTCACAACCGCCTGGCTAGGCACGGTGCAAACACCGCAACCGCTTACTATCCCTCGTCGGACCCGGCACAGCCAATCGCATCGGCCGGCTACGCTAGTGTTGTGCCGTCGAAGCATCTGGTACTCGATGCGGTCGATGCTGACCAGGCACGTCGTGGGAATGGCCCGACTACGCTGCCGCCACTGGCCAGCTCGGCCGGAATGAGCGGCGGCACCGTTCCGCACCACCATCTCCAGGACCCTCACCTGCACGCGATTCAGCCTGCACAGCAGCTCTACGCCGCTCCGCATGTGCCGTTCAACAACGCCGAGGGCAGCTACGTCGACCCGTTTGCTCGCTTCCTCTGAAGCGGCGCTCCCGGGATGATTGTGTGCCCTTGGACGCTGCGACGGTGGGTCAGGAGGGCCCACCAGGAGGCTCGCCTCGATCTCGGCCTTCACCCAGCTCTCCCACGTCCAGCATCCCCGCCCAACATGCGGAACCCCCCATCACAATAGCACGTGGAGGCTGGTCCTTCCCTGCCTCTCTTTTTCCAGCATCTTCGCACTCGAGCCTCTTCCATCGATCCTGGCATCTCATCTTCCGGCACCCAAATTCATCCACCAGCATATGCATCGGCAGCATCGCGAACCTCAACAATCATCATCATCATCATCATCATCAACAACAACAACAAGGTCCCCTTCATCGTCATCATCAACGCGGCGGGCAGTCATCGTCTCTTTCTTCCTCTCCTCCCCTCTCACTGCGTCTCTTGTCACTCTCCAACGTCATTGTACATCCAGCTCCTCTTTCCAGCATACGCGCATCGGGCACAGGCACCCGATCATCCATCCAATCATCGAGACGCACGCATCGCCGTCCTGCCACCTCATCCAGGAGGAGCTTGACAGATCGAACTCAGATCCAATCTGATCCGATCCAGACCAAACCATCGTGGCCCATCAGGCAGCGTGCGTGCGTGCGTGCGTGCGTGCATCTTGGTTCGGGCACGCCTCGCGTGGGGCGAGGGGGGAGGAAAGCAATATGAGATGCGATATGATGGGATGGGGATGGGATGGGATGCGACGTCGTGAGGGCGAGGGTGGGGGACGGGGTGAAGTTCAGAGGAGTTGTGGCCCAAACGAAGGTTGTCGCGCATCGAGGACGGTATACCTCGCCACGAGTCTTTCAGTGGATACATAGATTTGTTCACCTGTCCCCCCGCATCGTCGTCGTCATCATCGTCGTCGTCGGCAAGAAGGGGAAAGAAGGGAGAAGGAGGAGGGCGTCAGATCGCGACAGGGAGAGGGAAAAGAAGAAAGAAAAGAAAAAAAGACAAGTCGAGGTACGTACCGGTAGGATCCCAACAGAGACCGCTGATGTTCGTCATTCCGAATGCCCCCGATCCTGCCCCCTCGTGATTCCTCACACCTCGGTTCCTGATGATGGCCTCGTTCGGATACCCCTCGATGATGGGCGAAGAAGAAGACGACGACGACGACAGCGACGAGCCCGCCACCTCGTCGGCGTCCGGACCGATGCGTTGGTGCAGCAACGACTCGTACGCCCCCGTCCCCGCCCCCGCCGACGACGACAGGGACGCACCCGGTCGGATCGAAGATGTGATCCGGAAGCGGTCCAGCACCGTCGTCGCCTCGCGGTGCGCCTGTGCGGCATTGAGCAGGATCTGCATCCGATTCGGACCGGACGTCGAGGGCGAGGCCGACGACGACGACGACGACCCCGACGCCGAGACGCTCATCGGGTTCGTCAGCAGACCCATGTTGGGCGCTGCCATCGCTCCCCTCCGCGGCGGAGAGGGCATATCCGAGTATCCCCCGTCATCGTGGTGGGCCGAATCCAGCGCCGATATCGACGTCGGCACCAGCGGCGATAGGGATGCGGCCCCGGGCGTCGCGTGGGGCGCAGGCAGGCGCTGCACGTTGGCAAACGTGACGGTGTCGGCGATGTGGAAGTAGTTGCGGTGCTCGGTAAACGCCAGCAGGTCGCCGCCGGGCGAAAACTTGACGACGCGCGCCGCGCCGTTGCCGCCGGGCATGCCCGCCTGCGACGTCGTGAGCGAGGCGAGCGGATAGGAGCTGCGCACGTCCCATACGCTCACGATGCCGTCCTGGCTGGCCACGGCGAACTTGGACCCGTCGGGGGACCACGTCGTCGAAAACGACGCATCCGTCGAGGCGCTGTAGGTCGCCACCTTGTCGTACTCTCCGTTGGGCCGCACGTGGTAGATAAAGACCTCGGGCGTGTCGCCGACGGCCACCAGCGTGCGACGGTCCGGAGAGAGCGACGAGTGGTTGATGGCCGTGGGGAAGTGGAGCGTGCTGGTCTTGGACAGCCCCGGCAGGCCCGACTCGATGCGCCCTCCCGCCCCGGGCGAGCCCGAGGGCGGGCGCAGCTTGTACGACTTGATGCTTTGGTCATTGTTGCTTACCATGATCCTCACGGGCCCGGCGTGCGCTGCCACCTCGGACGCCGCATGTCGACGCTCGGCCTCGAGGTTGGCGCGCAGGGTCGAGTTGTGTGGACGACGCCAGGTGCTGCTGCGCCACGGCGACGACGATAACGCGCCGGACGAGTAGGAAGCGGTCGTCGACGGGTCGAAGCCGTAGGCGGCGGCGGTGTCGTCGTCGTGGTCGCTGCATTCGGGAATCTGCCAGGATGGAGGGCCTGCCGAGTGGGTCAAGGGATATCGCTGGGAGAGGGAGGACGACGAGGGGGACGGGTAGGAAGACGATGAGGAGCGCGGTTCGTCGCGCGCCCAGATAGTGGCGCTTGAGGACGACGACGAGGTAGACGGATCATGCGGGGTGACGCGGATCCTTTCCCTCCTCCGCCGGGAAGACGAGTGCGGAGCCGAATATGCAGACGACGAGGGCTGTCCGTACGAGTCGGGCTGGATGCTGATGGCGTTGTTGATGGATCCGCCGGTGGGGGTCCTGAGCAGCCAGGGTGCCGGGTAACGGTCGGCGTCCGGATCGACCTGGTGATGAGGCGTGTAGCTGGGCGAGTGAAGGGGGCGGAGTGCTAGCTCGCTGTGCTGTCCGCCGGCGGCGAGGAGTCCGCACGAGGTGGTGAGGCAGTTTGGGAGAAAGTCGAGGGTGCAGTAGGTGGTGGGGGGTTTGAGGCTGTTGAAGTCGGCCTGTTCGATCTTGAGGCGGTTGACAAAGAGGACGCGGTCGGGCTGCGCTGCGGGCTGGAGCAGGTCGCGCAGCTGGAGGTGATGGATGCTGATGCGCGCAGGGATGAGGCTGGGCTGAGCATCGACGTACGCCGCACCGTTTGTCATGGTGGCAGCGGCAGCGGGGGGTTGGGACCGCCGCGGCCGGGGTGCAAGGGTTTGGGGGGGGGGGGGGGG